AGTCCGACTTGTTGAACCAGGGCTGCTTAACACACAGACATACTTGTATGTTGGCTGGGAGCGTCCAGACAGGGAACTACAGCAGCAGAACATTTTAAGAAACTCAGGGTTACAGGAAAAGCAGTGACACAACCTCTCACTGGTTTGGGTTGCACCCCAAAACATGACAGGCCTCCTTGTTATGAAGGGCCCATTTTGCACACAAAGTTTAAAATACTATCATACTGTCTCTCATATCCCCTTGTTCTTTTAACCTTCATTCTAGCACATGATGCCATCACAGTGGCATACTGTGCAGTATGACCATCACCAATACACGATGACCTAGACTCAGAGACTCAGTTAGATTTTGTACATTGAGTCAGCAAGGTTTGCAAAATCTGTAGGCTGCTCTGTGCCTGCAGAATTGTAAAAGGTCAAGGTATCATGATGCAATGATTAACAAGAAGATTCTATTAATACCACTCTTGACCCATCCAGGAGGTAGATCAGAAAACATGCTCCTGCATTTTGAAACGTAGGGAGAAGGAGGTATATTGCAGCAATTTTATTTTAATCAATGATCTAAAATGTCCAATTGACCATTATTAAGAGGTAAAAGAAAAAACACTGTGTTAATGTTGACATAAAAGCAAAAGCAGTAAATAATCTGGTCTCTCCAAAAAACTGTATGTGGGTTTGGAGAGATTAGCAAAATGCTTTTAGAATTCCGCCTTTAGAACTCTGAAAGTGAGAATTCATAAACCATTTTAGTTCTCTGTTCCATCTCCTGCAGCTGTGATTTCTAAAAAAAATATATTTAGAAAAGCACAACTACTGGAATATTTAGTAATGCAACCCCTCCAATGGTACCTTATAAATATGCTTTGTGGAATATGTTCAACTGATATCAGTGAAAATGATAGAATGCTTGTGATGTGATGGAGAGTGAGACATATTGTAGCAGAATATGCTTAACAGTCTGCATTGTTTAAGAATAATTTAGCTGAATATTTAAATGATTTTCCAGTGATGCTGCATGTCTCTAATTTAGTATAAAACTATTCTTGTTTTCAGCTTTGTCAGTTTGTTTTATTAGGTCCTATCATTTTCTTTTTCTTTTAAATGACTCTTATTGCAGTGTAATTGACTAAATGTTAAATTCATGATTTTATAGTTTCATGTACCTGACTCTCTTCATTGTGTAGACTTAACATAGGAGCAGAAATCCAGGTAAACTAGAAGCCAATTCTAAATATGCCTGCCACTTGCAAGTAAGCATGAGCATCAGAAAACTGGAGATCAGAAACACAGTTGACTGGGAGAGGAAAAAAGGTCACAGTCTTTAATTTCATCCCAAAGGACTGAAAGGTTTACAGTGGATTGGAATAAGTAGAGGTCTTCTATCACATATTACTAATTACACAATTAGAGTTACATTTAAAGTGTAGAGGTTCTGGAAAGGTAGTCCTAATTCCCAGCAGTAGTGCTGTAAAAGATCACATTTTAAGCCTGCCTAGATGTGTGATGAGCCATCCAAATTGAATTCCAATGTAAAATGCCAATCTGGCATGGTTATTTGCAGCTGTCATTTATAGGGATAAGTAAATATTCAAATATTTGGATTGAGATGACACTTTCTGAATGAAGCTGAGCTGGAGGGGAATAAGGGATGATCCTATTATTCAGATCCCTGAATAAAGACCTCATTAAAACTGAAAATAGGCTACCCTGCCTTTCTCCCACTCTTCTTTCAAATGGGCGCCCAAACTCTCCACTGCTCACCACTAGCCATCTTCAGTGGCTCAACCTAATGGCTCAAATGCTACTTGTTGGATGAGTCAGCCACTGTGACTAAAGGGCTTAATCCTGCCAGGTGCTGAGCACTACTGTGAGGTTCTATGTTCCCACACAGGAGCATTCAGCAGTTTGCAGGATTGAGCCCTAAGGTTTCAAAGTTTTGTCTATATTAATGAGAGCAACAGACTGAGGAATGGTTAGCTAAGTACCTGAGTGGTTTGAATGTCAGCCCAAAACATCCCAAAATCTTTGACTCACTGACTTTGGCTAATATTGGTGCTATACAGCACGTTATTTTATGCACCTATCTCTATCCATTACCTTGCTCTGAGGAGCTCTTACCATCAGGCGGTTTAGCCTCAATATTTCCAGTCTTTAAAAATATCCAGTTGTTATAATCTGGTGTGGAATGTCTTGTAAATTCCAAATACATTCTATTTGTAATCCAAAACTCTCTTGGGATTATTTTTGAACAATAGCTATTATTTATGCAGATCCCTACAACCATAAATTGGCAGCAGGAGGGCTACAGAAGTTTGACTGAAAGGTGAGATCAGAAATTAGGAAGAAGGAGGCATAGGTTACAGAAAATGATGTAATACAAGAGACAGAGGAAAAGAAAAATACCATGGAAACAGACAGGTAGATGTGATCTTGAAAAAGAATGACATTAAATGAGAAAACCAGAATCAAAGAGCATTGTCAAGGTATGCACCTTCAAATGTTGCCATCAAGCAAATCTAAACATTTTAACATTTTTATTTCTTCATCATGCTACCAGATGCACAATGATATCTTTAAGTAATTATATTTCAATTATTATTAACTTCCTCATGATTTCTAAAAAATTAAATGATTGAAAATATTGCCCCTTGAGTCACCCATCAACAGTGTGGACACTGGGAATTTTAATCTATTTTCTAGCATTCAAGAATCAACTTCCTTATAATTCCATATGTTGTCTTAAGTCTTTTTAGTTATAAAGTATCATTGAAAGCTCATGTTAAGAAACATTTATTATCAATGAGCCATAATTAAGGCTCAGAGTCTGTCACGGAAGTCACGGATTCCGTGATTTTCCAGGACGTTCTATGACTTCTGCAGTGGCCGGTGTGTTTGGCCCCGGGGTCACCCGAGCTGCTTGGGCAGCCCCTGGGCCACCCCCACTCAGCACCAGCGGGGGTCTTGGGCTGCTGAGCCCCCCTCACACCTCCCAGCACCAGTGGGGGTCCTAGGCCATGTGCCGGTGCCCCCGGGCCACCCCCCACCACAGAGCACCCAAGATTTAGTCAGGGGTACATAGTACAAGTCATGGACAGGTCACGAGCTGTGAATTTTTGTTTACTGCCTGTGACCTGTCCATGACTTTTACTAAAAACACCCGTGACTAAAATATAGCCTTAGCCACAATCATGGGCCACTAGAACTTGCATCACTATTCCAAGTTATTAAATCTAATTACCATGTCACATGATAGATTGCCTCTCCTTAATGCAAAAGGAAGTTAAAATTTAGCAAGAAAATGGGTGTGAATTCAAATCAATTTAGCTGATGGCCTCAGGGCTGACTACAAATCTTTAATTCACTGGAGGGGAACTGCTGAGATCTTAAACCATGAAGCTTTCCAACTCAAGCGTGGGGACTGAATTTTAGCACTGGCTGCCCTCAGGGAGCATGTACATTATTTAGAATACATTAGAACATTTAAAAATATTAAATAAGCATAAATAATTTATTTGGAAAAATGAAAGGAGTTTACTCTTCTATTTGCCTGAGGAATTTATAGAACGTCTGTTGACTGACTGGAAGGGGCAGATTGTAATTTTCCTTCAACTGTGAAATGTGGATATTTCCCCTAAGCAAAGTAAGAAAAAATAATTACCTTTAATTCTTGTTTTCTGTAGATTCACATATCCCAAGTGATCACCACTCTTGGGGTCTGTGTTACCAGTGTGTAACCAGGTGGAAATCAGTCATTTTCTCCACTAAAGTATTTCCTCTACCCATCCCTCCTTCATCCTTTTGAATAGCTTGGTAATTCCCTTCCTATATTATTACAACTTCATTTCTTCTTTTTCTGAGTCCTTTCAAATTCTTCTTGTATACTTTTCCCACAAGCCCCTCCTGGCTTCCCTCCATGCTACTTCCTGCTCCTGGACCAACCTGTTCAACACTATTTGTTTTGCTTGTTTCCTCTCTTCCCCCAAATCCCCTTTGTTCAATTAGTAGTATTTATTATTTGTGTTAGGATAGCACCCACAATGTATGAGTTGCTTTCTAAATGTATAGGGAGCTCTGACACCAACCCAGCCTAATGAACAAGCTTACTAAAAATGAAATTACAAATAAAATAAATAACCTCATAATGTTTTACTGTGTAAATCCTTCTTCACTTACATCATCTCTCCCTGTGTCATGTCATGCATTGTCTAACCTAGACTGTAAACTCTTCAGCGAAGGGATTGTGACATATTTGACTGCAGAGCACCACACATACCTATGCATTGTATAAATAAATACATATTATTAGGGTGTCACTAAAGATTTTGTTGCCTTCCAGGAGCTGGACTAAAATCAATAGGCACCCATCAGGCATTATTAGTCACTAACAATTTGGGTTGGACTTAAGTTAGTGACCTACCAGTGGACGGCTCCATATCCCATTGTCAGTCAGGGGGGCTGGAACAATTGGTACAGTGGGGGTGCTGAGAGCCATTGAACCAAACTGTAAACCCTGTATATGTTGGAAACCGCTTCAAGCCCGGGGGTGCAGCAGCACCCCTAGTTCCAGCACTTATGTTGTCAGTCCCCCGAGGTAGCCTGTTCCCTTGATATTTTTAACATTTTTGTTTTTTTCCAGTTTCAAATAGTTGTACTCTCCCCTTGATGTCTGTGCTTACGGAATTATAACACCTCAATGACGTCCTTGAAAGGTATTATACCTATCTGCAACCAATTTCAATGACATTTTTGGCATTCCTTTGAGATCAGTGAAAGGGTATTACTATGCCATTGTTTTTAATTTGTCTGTATACAGGAGGATAAACTTACACTGAATATAACATCAGTTATGATAAAAAGTGATTCTTTACTCTGTGAATACTTACCTTAAAGATGAACACTTTCTTCCTTCATTCTGATATATCTTGTTCCATCTATCATGTTATGCATGCAGTGAAATACTCACCCAAAGTACCAAAAAGTTAGCTCAGTGCTCTTACCTGGCCGATGTGCCTTTGGAACTGCCATGTTCATCACACGCCCTCCGTCCTGAGGTTTGGGGGGTGAAGCAGTAAATCTGCAGATCCCCGATTCTGATGGTGTGCTTGAGGTCAGACTGTCTGTGTACTCATTAGTCCCTGCCGTTAGCTGCTCCGATGATGTGTCTGATATAAAGCATTCTGTAATTGTGAACTTGGCATGTCTCAGCTGCTCTTCCATCTTAGCATGTTCATATGCTCTCGCTAGCTCTTCGTACGTAGAGGAGGCACTTTCTGTGGAGACCATGCTGCTTCTTGCTCGATCTAAACATCCAAAAAAGATTAAAAAACAGTGTGGTCGTTTCAGAACCTAAATCATTAATATTAAAGGGTTTTTACTAGAGTGTAGTTTTCCTGACTATGACTTGGATGAAATCTACTTCATCATGAATGTTGATCTTTCACACTTAAAATGAGGTCTCATTGCCTTACCAGCAGCATATGAATCAGAATTGACTTGTTTGCTTGGAAGCAGAAAAAAATGTTTATTCAGTAAGAAAAATGTGATTACTCTTCCCCCCGCCCCCGCACCTTTCTCTTTTGAAAAGTAAGTTTAGTGCTTTACGTGTCAAAAGAAAAACAGAAGGCCACTGTTTATCCACAAAACAGACACAGCACTGCCAAGGACAGTTCCAATACAGTATCCTGTTAATGTGCCTCAGACATGATTCAGAGAGCTCACCTCGAATGGTGAAAGGATAGCTCTCTTTCTATATTCATTCACGCCTTGGCCCTTCTGTTGAGAATGCTAACAAAGGTACAATAGAATGGCAATGATTCTGAGACAGACATCTGTTTTCTGGGAACTGGACTGAAACCACCAACTCATCTCACATAGAGCAAATGGCTGCATCAGAAGGTAACAGCTTTTGGTCACTACCAGTGTGCTTGTATTCTAGTGCCTGATTCATCACTAGTGAAGTCACTGGTAACTTCACCATTGACTTTAATGGGCACAGGATCAAGTCCTTTGTAATAAAGAAGTGTCTCTTTTCCCATTACCAATTCCCGGAGACATCAACTTCCCTTGAACAAACATCATTATTCTTGAAGATTTACTTAATCACTTGTGTATGGTAAAGCATACTGCAAGTACAATGCCAAACCCTGAAAAGTGAAGCAGATGAGAGCTTTCTATTTAATTAAATGGAAAAGTCCCTGGAATGCTATACTTTTCAGCTGTGATGTATCAGGAGAGAAGAGAAGTTTCACAAGGTCCTTGAACAGGAACCATGTCTTCTTCCAGGTTTTGTACAGTTCCATGCACATTACTGATACTCAATAAATTAATAATAATAATAATAATAGTAGCTGCAACAACAACTAGTTCATAACATGAGACTACTACAGTAACTAGATGCAACAGTTTGTTAATTGCAAGTCTTTATTTTTTATATCATATACTAGAGTCTTGGTATCAGTTTTTATTCCATAAGAAGAGCAATACACCTGTCAATTATAAAGATGTAAATGCATTATTTTAATTCATAAGTATTTTTGATATGACTTAATTTGATTAGGACCTTCAAGCTTACCTTGAATGATTAAAGCACTTTTGGACATGTCTCCACTGAGTTTAAAGCTACTGGCCCATAAATCTGGGACAATTCATGAAATGCTAAACTCTGCCCTCATATGTCCCAAGCTGCCTTACTTTGCAAATCTGAGACCAGAGCTTGAAAGCAGATCAAAATTGGTAGACCCTTCGTTCATTTCATTTATTGATTCTTAGGCCAGCCCTACATTAAAAAGTTAGGTCGATCCAGCTACGTGTCTCAGGGGTATGAAAAATCCACACCCCTGTGCAATGGAGTTAAGCTGACCTAATCCTCAGAGTAGACAGCAGTAGGTTGATGGAAGAATTCTTCCACTGACAGCCTCTCAAGGAGGTGGATTAACTAGAGTGATGGGAAAACCCATCCTGTTGCTATAGTATGTGTCTACATTGAAGCACTGCAGCTGTGCTGCTGCGGTGTTTCTAGTGAAGACATCATTTTAGACATGTAGCACAGCTATGTTTGGTTGTACAACTCAATACACAATTGTTTCATCTTTTAAAATAACAATAGATTTATCACTCTGACCCCATTCCTTTCCTAGAAATCAAAAGCACAGCATATATACTGTTTTGTCATCCCTGTGTTGTGTACCCCTTCCATGACCCAAGTTTACTTTTGATTTTAAAAATCTATTTTAATTCTAATATAAAACCCTGCACATCTTAAAGGGCAGGGATAGAGTTGGAAGGTATCTAGTAATTAACAACTTTTGTTAGGTTATGAAGCAGGCTTGTAAAATCATTGTTAAAGTTTACAAGCCCATGCAGTGAACCCACTTGCATGTCCTTTTCCATGATGATTGGATGATGATGAGAAAACCTAATGATATTTTACTTGTCCGTCAAATAAAATGACCCTGGGTGAGAAGAATCTTGCTGTGCTGGGATATGTGACAATATGCTTGTGACGCATGTGAGAATTTTTTGTAACATTTTTATGAACTATCCATATGACTCTGTACCTATCACCTCAGTATTGCTACCCAATGAGTGACAAAGGGTTAAAATGTTGCTCTGGGGCAGAGCAGGACACACGAGGTGTTTGACTCACACAGCTGCCTGGCTGGAGACCAGAATAATTAGCAATGGAGGTCCTGGAAGAGACAATGGAAACTCTTATGACCAAAGGTTAACACTTAACTGCAGAGGCAGCTGAACATGTGAACACAGACAGGCAGTGTCCTGAGAACAAAGGCAAGAGGTGTCAGATGTCTGTGATAAGAACTGGTAACACAGAAACACAGCAGCTCTCACGGGAGACTGAAGGACAAAGAGACAGGGCCAAGGTGAATTCTAGAATAGCTTGGCTGGATGCAGCCCTAGCAGTGGCCAGTCTGAACTCTCTCTTTATCTTTGCTTCTCTGTGCTAATCTAAGGACTTCCCATTGCTGTATTCTAGTTGATTAATAAATCCTGTTTTGAAAAGGCTACATAAAGTCACACCAGATATTTGTTGAAGTGCATCAACCTCCCAAAGGGGTAAAAATCTCTGAACAGCAGTCTGCTTCAGTTGGACTCACTGAGAAAAGCTCACAGTGAGGAACAGGTGTTCTGGAACCTGGGAGTGCCTCTGGCACTGAGCCCATGTGGCCTAACTTATGGAAGAATGTGACTCCTTGGGGGGGTCTGGCACACTAAAGGGGTGCCCCTGGAGATGGTTTACAGGTTGGGGCATAGCAAATCCAGGATCATGCCCGCAATCTAGCATGCCCATAATAAGGTTTTCACCATCCTTCTAGATAAAGAAGTCTGGATGAAACTGGAGGCATGTCTGATGGGCAACATGAAGCACTCTCTCTTTAACCAAGATGGACACCCTGCCTTCCTCAACTCTTCTACTTCCTGACAGCCCAAGAGAGAGGCACCTGGATTTCCATGCAGCTTCGCACAGCAATATCCATGAGCCATTAGGGCAGCCCACCACTGCACTTTTTTAGATTTAATTTGTACGTTATTAGGGCCCAACCTTCCCTTTGAAGAATAAAAAAAATATTCCACTGACTTAGATATGCATAAATCTTTTTATAGCAAAGTAAATGTACCTTGATTCTTAATTGAATACGTCTTACAAGTCTTTTTATTTTTATGTATCTATCCACATAGTCATGTAAATTTCACATAATTTGATTTAACGATGTACCTTACAATGACAAAAGCACAGCCCATAGGAAGTTCCTGATATTAATGTTGGATAGCATATGTAAACAGAGGGTAGATTTTAAAAGATATTTAAAAGGAAGTTGTCCATTCTTAAAAGCTAACAGCTTAATCCTACAAATATTACTGGGCACAGTGCTTACTACTCTGAGTAGCCCAGTGGAAGTCAATGGACGATATGTAGTGCTCGCACTTCTGAAAATCAAGCTGCATATTTAGGTCCCTAAATATGGATTTAAGGAACTATCTTTAGGAATATATTTTTGAAAATCTTGCGCCAAACATTTTTAGATCAAGGCAAGGCTGATGTCTGCTTTTTCTTACTCAGAGAATAACTGGATTTTTTTTTAAAAAACCCTCATATTTCTATTTAGTGAAAAGCTGTTTGTGTATACTGCTTTGGATGGTTTTCTCTTCTGGGGCCTGACTGTTTTGAGACTTTCCTGTGTAGCCACTCTAAACCCAGAGATGAAAGTAAGCTGGTACGGTATGGTATGGCGTACCAGTAAGAAGGTGGTCGCCAGTACACAGCCGACCAGACCAGCAGGGCCCCTGATGGTGGGGGGCAAAAGGGGCAGCTGCCCCGGGGCCCGATGATTTAAAAGGCCTGGGGCTCCCGGCCACCGCTGTGGCTACCCCGGGGCTCCTGCGGTGATTTAAAGGGCCTGGGGCTTCCGGCCACCACTGCTGCTACTGCTACCATGCCAGCGGGCGGAGCCCTGGGCTCTTTAAATCACCACCAAAGCCTCGTGCAGCACGGGCTGGGCAGTGCTGAAGAGCTGGCTGGGGGAGTCTGGCCCCAGGCGCGCCCCTTCCACATGAGGCCCTGCCCCTTCTGGGGGCCCAGAGCCACCCCACGCATTGCTGAGGACCCTGGCCACCCTGCGTACCGGTAAGTCTGTTAAACTACTTTCATCCCTGTCTAAACTCCAAGGGATTACAAGCAGTTGCTTCTAGCCAGCCTTGAGCTAGGCAGGGAGTCACCTCCTCTGTCAGTGATATGCCTCAAAACAAACATTTTCCTTGTTTTTTTGTTTTTTAACCTATCTTTGGAGCTGCTGTGTGAGTGTTTCCCTGATCACATGATGTAACTCATTTAAGGCTGTACATTTCTTCATCTCTTGTTCAGTATAGAGGAAAAAGAAAATCAGCTTCACTTTTCAATCTCACAACTGCATTTTAACTGGGACACAACAAGGCTAGTATTAAGATTGAGTGAAGAATTGCATCTTCAGGTTCCTCCTTCTCATTACTTATAGATATAGTTGCTCCCAAAGAAAATAAGGGCTTTGTCCAACGCCCATTGATGTTATTGAGTACTGGATTGGTCCTGAAAGCTGGGCATTCCCCCTATGAGCAAATTACACCACTGGAAACGACTTACCTTATAGTAGCTCAAACCTTAAAACCATTCCAGTTTTGACTCCATTTTCCCAGCGCTAATACTGCCACTTCCTGGCTGGTGCCATTTCATGAAGCAAATTCTCATACCACTCCCTTAGAACTCAGGAAGTACATCGTTTCAGTGACCAGAAAAATTACCCACAGAACCATCAAAAAGATTTTGGAGTACATTTTCGGCATAGGAAGTCACATACACAATGCCTGTTAGCATAAATGGTAGTATAACCCAGTAGCAGTTGCAGTTAGAAGGAACGTTTTTAAAATGCTTTAAAAAGAAAAGAAAACTCTTAATACCAGCAGCGAACATGGTAAATCTCATGCAGTGAATACTACTCCAGTTATGCTAGTCCTGTCTTCAGAGGGGAATTCTGCAAATAACATTATACCTGTATCCTGTGAGGGGCTGACACTGTAGCTGTCACTTTCCTTGTCTACTGATCCTGCAGCTCTGGGTGTTGGCAGCCTCCAATCTGTGGTGAGGGTGTGGGCTGATATAGTGGGATGGGGTCTGTTGAGAGTCCATTGACTAGCGTACCTGTTGCGAGCTGTGGGCCCAGTTTTTGCATTCCTTCTTGTAGTAGGGTCTGTGATTGACAAACAGAGATTGACCAACTTTGCCATTAAGTTCTTCATTAGTCAATGAAAAATCACCAGCAGAATAACTGAAATGAAGTGGTGACTGAGGTATTGTTAAAAACAAAAACTGACAAAAAGGAGTTAAGGATGAAAATGTGTTTCAGCGAAGTGCAGTGAGTACATCCCCAAATTAGGACATTTTCTTCACAGAAATTCTACATGTTTATACAATCACAAATGTTAAACAGTCTGGGAATGAACAGGTAAAGGGATTCAAACAGTTCCCTACTGCTATGTAACTCTACTTTACTCATTATCACTTCATATAAATCATAATAACTCCTTCCGACCCCAAATTTATAAAATATAAATGAAAAGATTACAAATGGCTAAGAGATTATATTATCACATTTCTTATTCTAGGGATCTTGATTAATGTTAACATACAACAATATTACTCACTACCAAAACCCTATGTGTTTATTATTTATTTATTAGTTTACATTTGGGCTAGTATGTTATTGATCATGCATGCTAAAGGGCTGCTACCAGGTTGCTGAATACATGGCAAATCTTAAAATCCTCCAAGTTCTGATGGTAAATTTATCCATAAAGATTCTTACAGTGTCTGAAAAAAATAAAATCACCCCAATTCTTCCTTAGAAATTTAAAAAAAAAAATCAACTATTTATGTAGGGCCTAAAATATTTTATACTTTGCTGCTCCAGAGACAATCCATCCATCCTTCCAAGGGAGTACAAGTAAGCTAACTGCCAAAATTGACTGCTTAGGCTTTTTTGACATCATCAGTAGCACTGGTACAAAAACAAGGCTTGTTTTTCGTCAGATGTAGGGCCCTACCAAATTCACAGTCCATTTTCCTAAATTTCATGGTCATAGCATTTAACATTTTTTGAATTTCACGGTTTCAGATATTTAAATCTTAAATTTCACAGTGTTGTAACAAAATATAATCATGTAAAGCCCTTAAGACTCAGTGTTTCTCTAACTGGGGGTTCTGACCGACAAGGGGTTCGCAAACGATTGTGTGTGGGGGATCACGATATTGCCACCCTTCCCTCTGCGCTGTTTTCAGAGCTGGGTGGCTGGAGAAGTGCAACAGCTGGCCGGGTGCCCAGCTCTGAAGGCAGCACTGCCGTCATCAGCAGCACAGAAGTAAGGGCGTACTTTTGTATACGTTTACCTTATAGTATAGAGTAAAAGTACAGAAAAGACCAGATTTCATGTGGGACACCAGATTTAACGGTCTGTGATGCAATTTGCACGGGTATGAATTTGGTAGGGCCTTAATCATAAGCCAAAGGGAAAAGAAAAATCTTTAATTGGCAAATGGAAAGTGACTAAACCATCAGGGAAAGATTTTTCTTTTGAAGCTTCTATGGTGAGTAAAAGAATTAAACAGTGCTCTTTGACATTCAAATGGTAAGGCTGTTCTATCACGTAGGAGTGGGAGATTTGAACAGCAATGGGTTAAGGATAAACCATCACTAGATACTGACTTGGACATTGTTTCTGAATCAACATTCCCTAAGAAGCATTTACAGCGTGTTACTTCAAAGGTGCAGGTTATTTATAAATACAAAATGGCCATGCCTGTTTGACCTTCTGTTCAGATCCTCCTCCAAAGCAAAACAAAAATACAAACTCAATGCCATCGATAAACACTGTATCACGCCTGCTCTTTAGAACAAGGACAATAGTTAGATGGCTAGTATCTAGCTATGAAAAGATAGCAGGCTAATGTTGGAAATTATTAAGAGACTAGATTGTAAATTTTCAATCTACCATGAGCAAGGCATGGTGCATAGCTGCGCCACCTCAGAAGCAGACTGAAGAGGGCAGTAGAGGGGGGTGCTGGGAACTGTGAAATTACTACACCATTAGCAGATTTCTTCCTCCTCTGTGACAGCTGAGGTCTGCTGGATGGAGGGACAGGGCTTTGCCTCTGATTATTCCCCATTCCTGTCTGTCCACTGTTGCTGCTCTCCCCTAGTACTATGAATTGTGATATCAGTATTTGGATGGTCAGGAGTGGGGAGCAAAGCGGTTCCTTGTGCCTCTTTATTCTCCGGTGTTGCTTTGTAAGGGTAACTCACATCCTCTGCAGACGTGAAATCCAAGAGGCAGTGGGTGTGTGTGGAAGATGCCATCCACAAATTCCCCGTGTCTAACAGCTGCACTCTGCAATTAGACACTGGTGGCGGGCCTGTGCCAGTTGATTCGGGCTTGAGGGCTCAGGCTAAGGGGCTGTTTAATTGCAGTGTAGATGTTCAGGCTTGGGCTGCAACATAGTTCTTTGCCATTTAGCAGTGTTCCCAGAGCTGGGACATGAGTAGCTATTCCTTGACTGGCATTTGGTAGCTATACTGTTTAGAAGATCTCAGCTAGCCCAGAATATCACTAATAAATAAACAATTGTCCATGTTTTCAGAACCTTTCATCCTGAAGGATCCCAAAGCCCTTTACAACCTATTGTGAAGTATATACACAGTGCACCACTGAAACACAATCATCTCTAGCAGGAGAGGGCAACCACCAACAGTACACAACACATAGCACAGCATTGGGCAGAGGACAAATTTTGGCCAAGGATATTGGAACTGCTCTTACAAAGAAAAATGCCAGTGGATCTTTGAAATCCATGCAAGTCATGTAGGACCCTCTGTTTTTTGAGGTATCAAAATCATCCAGAAGACATGACCTAAATCTCCTGAATCTTATTTGAGTCCATTTCCCCGACTTAGTCTTAGAATATCTTGAAACATGCATGAACTTTAAAGGATCAAAGGTGAAATCATGGCCTTATTGAAGTCAGTGTAAGTTCTGCCATTGACTTCAATGGGGCCAAGATTTCACTCCAGACTGTGACTGTCCTAGTGCAGGTGAGCAGCATGGGTAAAAAGTGCAAGAAGCTTTCCTCCTTCTGTGCAACTATGCAGGTGCCAGCTATAATCCTAGACCTTATGCTCCCTGAATGCAAGGAACAGAAGAGTCTAATCACTAGACTTCCAAAAGGAGACAGAACAAATGGAATGAAGGCCCTAGCAGAGCCCATTTGGATTGTGAACACTGCAACAGTTGTACCCAACTTTTGTCTTCTGAATAAAAGTTTAGATTTTGAACAACAATTGTGTTACAACTTAAAAAAGGATGATTAAACAGACTTTTTGCAATCACATCTATGGAGTCTGATGGATGGATGGTCTCTGCATTGAGGGGGATTGGCAATCTCAGACTTCCAGCTTGTTTGGAGAATTGTTACTTTAACAAATCTGTTTAAATGCTAGTAGCTATTCCTGGGCCTCAGCACAAAGAGCTGGGCTGTTCTTCCCTTGCAGCAGAGAAGGCTGACAATTGCATATCCTTGGGCCCCTCAAATTCATTTAGATAAGTCTGTTAAATTTGGGAAACACTACTCAAAATTCTAAGACCGGTCCTGCGCACAGTAGGGGTGCTGGAACAATTTGCATAGAGGGGGTGCAGCCATTGAACCAAACTGTAAACCCTGTATACGATGGAAACCACTTCAAGCCTGGGGGTGCGGTAGCATCCCCAGCATCCCTAGTTCCAGCACCTATGGTGCACAGTGTTTCTTTCAAATATTCAAGGAATATTAAAATGCACAATAAATATATTTTACACGTTTCCCACCACACTTGCTGGGATGCATGTTAACCAGACTATTGGACTTGATTAAAAGCCCATTTTAAGTAACAGTATTTCCATGGACTTCAATGGGCTTTGATTTGGAGGAGATAAGGGATGGATAGTGTAAGTATTCTGGGGTGTTGTCCAGCCTCTAATCATCCCTAGGAAAGACAAGTACTTTTGGAGTGCAGGATCTTGCAGCATTAAAGATAGTTAGATTTTAAAACAATGCAGGGTTCTATTATATTGTTCATTCTCATAATCTTGATTCTTCAATATAATAAACATCAATGACAGTATTTGATCTTTGTATTTCTATACATCCTAGGAATTGTTTATATACTTCAAGTATGCCACATTACACCATATTACTATCTAATAAGTATTCCTTAGATTTAATGAAACTTTTTCAATTATACCGATATGGAACACATTTATAACTGAGTTTAGGAAGAAGGTAGTGTAATAGTACATTTATTCATTTTGTTTAAATCATTGTAAGATGATCTCAGCATGGATATAGCTGGGAAAATGGATTTAATATAGTAACTAGAAATGTAAATTTTCAAAAATGCAGTAATCAGAAAATGTATTTCTCATATCCTAGAACATTAGGAACAATCACAGTTAATTGAGAAATGAAATAAAGATTGATTGCTGAGAAATAAATATCTATTAGCTATGAAAATCCACTAAAAACATTTACTCAATAGAGTCTAGATGCTAAAATGCAGCATAAATTTCCTTTGAGGAATATTCAGGTCTGAATTACCTTAAATTACACCTACATTTTAACATGCAAAAGAAACTTTTACTGTATTAACCTTAATATGTACCACTTTTACAGTGGGTCCAATTGTAAAGAGACTATTTCCTGCTGCACAAAATAGTTTCCGCACTACATTCGAAATAAAGGAAATATCACGATAATATAAATACTGTGGTAATGATATCTGCTATAGGTAATATAGTCTCTTTTATACTCACTTGTTCCTGGCCGGGCATCAGAAACATCAACCAATGGTCCAGTAGCTTGTGAGACAGACTGGTAATGTACTGTATGAGTAACTGTCAATGACTTCTGTTTAGATGTCTCTCCAAAATCAGCATCAGTTAATAACACTGTTGATCTGTCATCTATAAGCAATAGAAAATGAATATTAAAATAATCACATTTTTGTTGATCCTTAAAAATAGTTTAAGTCCTCAAGTTTACACAAAACTAAAGAAATGAGTATTGCCTGTGGGCCTTCATTTGTGATATGATGACTTTAAGGGACACAGATAGGCTTTTTGTGTATCCTAAAATTTAGAAACTCTCTATTGCCTGTAACAATCTTTTGCCTCAAGTACTTGGACTTTTTCCATTTTGTAAACACTGGTCCCCCCAGGCCCTTCATGTTTGTCATTAGCATAAGTGATTGTATCTGTGATGTCGAAAGGAGATTGATAGCTCACTTGTGCTCTCTCTTCTGGCTAGCTTCACCTCTGCAGCACCAGAACAAAAATATTGCAGCATTAGGGCCTTCATCCAGTAAAGTGCTTATGAACTTGCTTTAGCATTTGAACACTCTTGCAGAAGTTGGTGGGACAAATCTTGTGCTTACAGTTATGCACATGCATAAATGCTTTTGTGGTCTGGAGCCCCTGGGCCAAATCTTGCCTCTTCCTTATATTGCAAAGTTCTTGCAGCAGAACTGACTCCAGGTACAGCTGCATGGAGGCTTCTTCCTATCTGCACAGCAGGATTGGTGGAGTGGGGTACGGCAGGGAATTAGACCTCAGGCCGAGTAGGGGAGAAAGAAACACTTGTGAATCCACTACTGCATGGATTCTCTTCAAAGAAACAGCAGAGGCCACTGCAGAGGATTCCTTCCGACTTTCCATACAGAATCTCCACCCCTCCCTGCACCAAGCCAGGCTACGTGGGGGAGCAGTTGATCCTGTGGCAGCTAGTAGCTTTTTTCTTTACAATTGTGATCACAGTGCTGTTTTTTTTTTAAAAGAAGCTATACAGAATGCAGAGTATGATGCCCACTCAATCATACAAGATTTAATAAGAAGTCCCTTCCTGCCCCCACTATAATCAATGGTAAATCTTCCATTGACTTCAGGCTTGCAGAACAACTACATTTGTATGCTTAGTGTTTACTTGATCTCAGTCTCCAGATTTTATTTTTACATTATTACAGTCTTTTTCCTCTATTCCTAATAGCAATGAAAACCATGGGGAATTCCTGCTCTCATACAATGTATAGCTTTTTAATGCATTTCTACAGGGACTGCCAGCAATGGTGTTTCTGTGAATTTACCCATCAGCTGTGGCTGATCCACTGCTTCTAACAATTGTTTTTTGTTTTGTTTTTTTTTTTTTCAACTGACAAGAGAACATTAATGTGAACAATTCTGCACAGTAACATAACTGGCATTTTTTGCCCAAAAAAGGCCCTAAATAGAATGAACGTTATGAAACCAAATTACGCGGTCCCTGGCAAAAGAGGAGCTCTTAGTCCGGTCATGAATAAAACCTGCCAAAGCCTATGTGAAATCCTGTCAAAGTGCTGGCTTACTATTACTGCTTTGTGCACCACAGTCTATTACTGTGGCACCGATACATTGCTGTAGTTAAGGAGCTAATGGCATTTCCATTATAAACCCCCTATTGCCCAACTACTATAACTCAAGAGTGAAATCTCTTTCATAAAAGATTGCAGCACCGAAATGAACTTTGGAAACATAAAGCTGGAAACAAAAATGTCCATGTTGCAGGTGATGTGTGGATCTCATCTTCAAAGCAACCTTATAAACTGTGAAACAGAGAAAGGGCTGAATCCTCTGGTCCAGCCAAATCAAGCTAGCCTGGTCCAGGATGTGATGGGACAAAGTTAGCTCATTCTTCCCCAATTCTGGGACTGAGTAGGACCCTCAGAGCTAAGCTACATTATACCGGCTGGCTCCACTGTTCCCCTCCCCTCTGACCACATCCTAAATGTGACCACTACATATGCTCTATATCACTGGAGGATTCCTCTATACAAGTGGAATCCTCTGCTGACCACTTAATCATAGAATATCAGGGTTGGACAGGACCTCAGGAGACCATCTAGTCCAACCCCCTGCTCAAAGCAGGACCAATCCCCAGACAGATTTTTGCTCCAGATCCCTAAATAGCCCCCTCAAGGAGGGAACTCACAACCCTGGGTTTAGCAGACCAATGCTCAAACCACTGAGCTATCTCTCCCCACTAACTTAAGCCAGCTTCAAGTTTGCTTTAGACTGCTTTTTGTCCAAAATGGTAAAAATCTGGCAACATCAGCTCCCTCTGTGAGAGCCCTGCTATTTTGTATAGCAAGACACTCATTAGATCAGTTGTTTTTGCGAGCTTTCAGCCATTTTCGGATGAACTCATAGGGAAATTGCTGTTTTTGTGAGATTTCAGATGCATCCCAGGCATAACATAAGGTATTTATGACTTTTGACCTGAAACCAGAATGACAGTGGTGATTCTGGTTCCAGGAGATTTGGTATCTAACCTTCTGAAATGTAAAAGATTTCAGCTTCAGGGTCCCAGTTTTAATGAATCTCAATTTTTTCCTTATTTATTCAATGTAGCAAAATACAGAATAACTTTTGCTATAGCTAGACAGATATATAATTAGGTAGTTTTATGTAGATTTGGGTGGGAAACAATTTTCTAGACCTTCAAAAGTTTTAGAGATTTTTTAAATTTTTTCTTGTCCCAAATTTGGGGCAAAAAATTGAAATCTCAAACATAAGAATGGCCATGCTGGGTCAGACCAAAGGCCCAAATAGCCCATTATCCTGTCTTCCGACAGTGGCCAATGCTAGGTGCCCCAGAGGGAATGAACGGAACAGGTAATCATCAAGTGATCCATCCCCTACCGCTCACTGCCAGCTTCTGGCAAACAGAGGCTAGGGACACCATCCCTGTCCATCCTGGCTAATAGCCATTGATGGACCTATCCTCCATGAAGTAGTTCTTTTCATTTCACAAGCAGATAGTCTGAAAAAAATTTCAGATTGGGTCAATCAAAACATTTTATTTCAGTAATTTTGAAATGTTTTGTTTTAATTTCAACCTTTTAAAAATAACCTCTTTTATAATAAACAAATTAAAATTTCAAAACAAAAAAATCATTTTAAAATGGAAAATTAAAGTTTTCATGTTGAAAATGTCAGAATGGAACACTTCACTTTTTGCTGCCCTACTCTACTTTAAATTTGCTAGGGTTCCTTAAAGCTCAAAATTATTCATATGTAGAAAAGGCTTCAATTCACTTTTCAACCTTGACAAATTATCTTGTAAATTAGGACCCTAGCCCTTTTTATGTGTAAAGGATGCAGTGCAAAGTCCACCAAAAACATGTATTATATAAAGCAACATAAGTGCATTGACATTTTACCAATGGTCTCCATTGTGTCCCTCTCTTCAATCAGAAGCTGAGCTCTGGGAATATCTATGTGCATCCTCAGCGTCTGCTGCTGCTTGTTAAGTGTATCTGAGGTCCTGGTGTTCTTACTAAGCACAAAAGAGAGACAAACATGAAAACGCCCCCCATATGAAAAGATACTTAAATATTTGCTTTTTAAGAATCCGTTCAACTTAAGCTAATAAAATTACCATAGTCACCAAAATTCTCATACATTTTATTTTCTTTCTTTGTACTTTGAAGCAAATAGGTGGTATTAATTTAAAGTATGTGGTAGGGAGATGAGAAAAAATAGGTGGGGGCAAGGGACTGAGTCTGCCATTATTCAGTGGCTTATCTATCGAAAGCCCTTATTAAATCTTTTCGATGCAGCTGTTCAATATTGAAACTGATGGAAACAGTTATAAAACTGCCATTTTTTTGCATTTCTAAGATTTGACTAATGAACCCTTCAGCTGACCAAACAGGTCAGTGGGAAGATGGTGTCTTATATAAATTTCTCGTATTAATTAATTTTCGGCAATGATTTAAATCCAGAATATCATAATAATTGGTAAGTTAAGAAATCAATCAAACATTCATCAGAAATTCCATTCATAATAATGAATTGCATAAGGAAAAGTGAAGACTTTAGTTCTGTTGACATTGCAGTAGTAAGAAATTATAAACCTTGTTAGCATTCATGGATTAACTCCTTTCATTGGATTTGGTATTTTAGAACAGGACTATAAAACAATTAGTGTATCCTCACACAAGCTATAACAATTTTAAAGTCTGTGTACCAGAAAATTACTCTGAGAATGAGCCATCTACTAATAAGTAAATGAAAATGGGTAATAAAACTGAGCAGCATAATCATATGCAATACAGAAATTGTGGTAAAATCCTCCATATTACACTAAAATCCAAGGACCTATTCACCCCTTTCCATGGAAATGGTGAACGGAAGGAAGGAACTCTCCATACGGGCCCCCTTGTTTTCCATGAATCATTTTGTAAGAGGAATTTCCTCCCCTCACAAAATGGGCAGCAGTTATGCCTCTAAAACCAACAGATCCAATGGGACCACCAGAACTGAGCTAGGACATATCTGCCAGACTCTACTTTTCTAGTCTTTTCCCCACTCTATCTTAGGAATTATGGCCCCTATCAACAGTATTTAATGTGTTTATTCTCACAACAACCCTGTGAGGTTCATAGACTCTTCCTAGATTCTAAGATCTGAAGGGACCATTGTGATCATCTAGTCTGACCTCTTGTATGGCTATAGAACTTCCCCAAAATAATTCCTAAAGCAGCTCTTTTAGAAAAACACCCAATCTTGATTTTAAAATTGTCAGTGATGGACAATCCACCATGACCTCACCCCCAAGAAGCCTTCTTCACAAATGTCTCTCTTTCTCTCTCTGTCAAAATTCTATCCTGGAGATGAGAAACCCTCTTATTAAAACTGATTTGTCTCCATGAATAGATGTTTTTTTCAAAGAATTGGCATTTTCCAACCAAAAAAAATTGTTGAAAAATTCCCAACCCACTCTAGTGACTGGGTCTTCAACGTTAGAAAATCCAGGCTATTAGCATCAAGGGATTATAACAGGAATCAGCAACCTTTGGCACGCGGCCCATCAGGGAAATCCTCTGGCAGGCTAGGACGGTTTGTTTACCTGCAGTGTCAGGAAGTTCGGCCAATTGCAGCTCCCACTGGCCATGATTCACCATTCCAGGCCAATGGGGGCTGCAGGAAGCGGTGTGGGCCAAGGGATGTGCTGGCCGCCGCTTCCCGCAGTCCCTGTTGGACTGGAACGGCGAACCGTGGCTAGTGGGAGCTGCGATCGGCCAAACCTGCGGACGCTGCAGGTAAACAAACCATCCTGGCCTGCCAGCGGCTTTCTCTGATGGGCTGCGTGCCAAAGGTTGCCGATCCCTGGATTATAATCTCATAGATAAGGATTCCAGAGACTACTACCCTAACAGGAAAAATATAATTTACTTACATTTTAATTACTCTGAAATGATAAAAAAAAGAGACTCTACTGATCATAAGCCTTAAATTTGTCTCAAGGTTGCTAATTAGCTCCCTAGACATTGTGATGGCATGTATATAACATACCTCATTTATTGACTATGAATAAATATTTTTGTTTGTTTTTTAAGCAAGTGAAATGCATGATGTGTTAAAGTTTGTTCAAAACTGATTAAAGAGATGAACATCATTTTGAATAATCGATCTAGACCAGGGGTCGGCAACCTGTGGCACGCGTGCCAAAGACGGCACGCGAGCCGATTTTTAATGGCACGCTGCTGCCTCCCGGGGTCCTGCTCAGCCTGCTGCCGAACAGCAGGCAGCAGCGTGCCATTAAAAATCCTGCCCGACCCAGCCCGCTTTTCTCCGCCCCCCGCCTACCGCTCTCTCTGGCGAGGGCAGGGGACAGAAGCAAGCTTGCTCCTGCCGGCTGCTGCTGTACGGCAGACTCTGCCGGCAGCCAAGCTTCCCCCTCCCCTGCCTCTTCCCACAGCGTGCTGCGTGGAGCCCCGCCTCCTCTCCCTCCCTGCTGCCAATGGCCCTTGCGAGGGAGGGGGGAAGAGCAGCTCCAGCGCCCTCGCTGCTCAGACCGGTAAGGAGGCGGGGAAGGGGGGTAGGAGCGGTGCGTATCCCTCCAGCCCCCTGCCGTGAGCCGCTCAGGGCAGGAGGCTGGGAGCACCGCCTTGATCCCAGCCCTCTGCCCTGACCCCTGAACCCCCCTTGCACTCCAGCCCCCTGCATCCCCCCACGACCCCATCCCTGATTCCTGCACCCTCCACACATACCCAGTCCCCTCACACCCCATGCCCTGACTCCTGCACCCCCTCACATGCCCCCAGCCCTCTGCCCTGACTCCTGCACCCTCCACACATACCCAGCACCTCCACACCTCCTGCCCTGATTCCTGCCCTCCCCACACACCCTGCCCTGACTCTTGCACCCCCCACATCCCCACCCTGAGCACTAGGTTGGCAGCGGGCTGAGTGGGGCCGGCGGCTGGGACCCCAGCTGGCAAGGGGCCGGCAGCCAGGACCCCAGACCGGCAGCGGGCTGAGCCACTCGGCCCGCTGATGGTCTGGGGTGCCGGCCCCGCTCAGCCCGCCGCCGGTCTGGGGTCCCAGCCCCCGGCCCCGCTCAGCCCGCTGCCAGTCTGGGGTTCTGGCTGCCAGCCTCTTGCCAGCCAGGGTTCCGGCCACAGGCCCCACTCAGCCCGCTGCCAGCCTAGGTGAATGGAACCCCAGGCCCGCAGCAGGCTGAGCAGGCCGGCGGCTTAAGATCAGCATTTTAATTTAATTTTAAATGAAGCTTCTTAAACATTTTGAAAACCTTGTTTACTTTACATACAACAGTAGTTTAGTTATATTATATATAGACTTATAGAGAGAGACCTTCTAAAAAACGTTAAAATGTATTACTGGCACGCGAAACCTTAAATTAAAGCGAATAAATGAAGACTCGGCACACCACTTCTGAAAGGTTGCCGACCCCTGATCTAGGCATTAACCCCCCACTCAATTGAATGACTAAAAAAATATGTACATTCACAACAGGGTTGAATCTTACACACCCATTTATACACAAAGGGATTACATATGGCACCTATGTAAAACTAAGGTCATTTTGGATGCTTGGCCAACAGTCATGACTCTTCATTAATTTTTGAGGCTGAGGTCAGTAAGTAGGTTAATGCAAAAGAGGTATGGAAAACTATTCCTTCGTAAATGTGAAGGCTGGGTTAGAGATTTCAGGGGCAATGTATGTCTTATTCTATGCTCAAAATTAGAAACATGAGCCAGTTCCTTATGCTAATCAATGATGAACAGTTAAGAGGAATTTATCTGGAACTTGCTGCCAAAGGAAACATCACCAAGCTGAGCTCAAATACTAGTAACTGTTACTAATTTGAGGTGCGAGGGGCAAATCATACAACTTCCATTAAACTGTTAATAAGTGGGGCTTGCGTAGCTTCCCCAGGGATCTGACTTAAATACCCCAAACCAAGGCATTCAACACAAAGACTAAAGCACCATCCTTAACCCTTTTTATTCTTAAATGCACTCACAGGGGCACAAATATCCCCAAGGGAGATTTCTAGACTTTCTAGATTTGTATATGATAATAGGTTTTGGTATAATATAAAGAAATCTTATTCATAATGTACCAACACATTTAACATATGTGACTGTGGATTATTGGGGTTTTGCCTCCTTTGTCTAAAAAAGGCCTAAATTTTCAAAAGTTAACTAGTCATTTTGGGAGCCTCAGTTTTTGGTTACCCAATCTGAGGTAACCCTTAAAGGGGCCTGATTTTTCAGAATGTGCTGTGCACACGCCCTCTGAAAAGCAGGCCGTCAGAAAGTGCCACAAGTTGAGCACCTTTTGAAACGGTCGTAAATCACTTTTGAAACTGTCACTTTTGAAACTGTCCTAAATCACATATTTTGTTCAAAATGCCTATTTTGATAATTGTTTGCTGTTATTTATATCTTTAAAAGATATATATGCAGTAGATTTTTTTTAAATCAAGCAACCAGGTTTTTAATGGGATGGGGGAAGGAATGACTATCAATACTCACAAAAATTAAAGGTTGGCAGAAATGACTACAGATAAGTAACATGATAGCTGTACTAAAACATTTTGCCAATGCAACTTGATCTGATCTGCTATGTTAGTACTGGGTCTCTTTTGAGCAGAGGCTTGCCAAATATGCTGAACTACGTGGGTTTTTTGGGAGATGGAGAAACACCAAAGAATGACTCTATTGACATTATTTTTACTTGTCACTTACAGTTAGTGAGGGCTCCAATCCTGCAAACATGCACATATGTAATTGTACCCACACAAGCAATACTACTGAAGTCAGTGGGACTCTACAGATATGTAAGTGTTTGCGGGATGGGGGTCTATATTTGAATCTAGGTTAACTGATTAACCCTATGTATCACCAACACACCAGACAGAGATAGTCTAATAACTAAGGTGTGCCGTAAATTCAAATGAAATCTAAAACCTCAGAGATGGGGGAGTTTGAATTTTTGAAAATGGTCCAAACTGGCAAATCATCAGATATCCTGGAGGTTTTTATTTTCTTAAAAATAAGTACGATTTTCAGTTAATATGAACCAAAATGGTCCTATTTTCAAAAACCCACAATGGTTTCAAAGTTCAACATTTTTTCCAGACAAACCAATAAACACTGAAAATATGAAATTTCCATATTTGTAGGCTATTGTTGCAAGAAAAGTCATTTTGTTGTCATTTCACAAAAGAATTATAGTTCTGGATAGTGAAATGACTCAGAACAAAACAGCAAAATAATAAATAAACTGTCCCCACTTTCAGAAAGCTCTACTTATAATCAGCTAGCAATGATATGTGTGTGCGTGTGTGTGTGTGTATGTATGTGTATTGTATTTTAAAATATGTGCTTCCAGGCATTTATTGCCTTCAATAAGATGATCTCTGAAGAGCAATTCCCTTTATGCATATTATGAAAACACTTCAGTGAACAGGCAAAATGTCCAAAGGGACCTAAACATGTTCTGTAATTTAATCCACTACCTCCAGGGGTTCTCAAACCTTTTTATATTGGGGTTCACATCTTAATAGAGATATTGTCTGATAGGTCACCTTTTTTGCCACTTATGTCTGTACTGATCACCTCTCTTTTCACTGATTGAATAAAATCCCTGAAGCAAGTTCAGCAACTGCTTAAATGCACATCCAATATTAGGAAAGTGTTCAATGCATCTTCAGCCTCTTCTAACATGATGTTATAGGGGGAAACAAAGAGGTGAATCAGCACCATGTGACTGGCCAGATTTCTGTGGAACTCTGCTTGTCTCTGGACCATTAGAAATCACTGTCCTCATTCCTAAGAGACACTAAAATGGTGTGTTTGGCACATAGATACAAAGAATTCAGGAATGGAAGGTTTAATAATTAAGTTGTTCCCAGGAATGATTTTGAATATAATCCCTTGAACCAGAAACATTATTAAATTTGGAATTACTAAACATTATTCTTACCTCATAAGCATTTCAGCCAAACTCTTTGCATCTAGAAGAAAACAGGGCAAATATTATTACCTGATAAGTAGCTAGTTAACACTTTAATGTTTGTGCCACAATGAAAGTTTTTTGGTAGATGGATTATTAAGGAGTGGAAGATTCAGACCAGCCATTTATTAGAGATTATTCTCTTTCCTCAGATCAGCCATCAAGACATAATAGCCTCTAAAACTCCTTATTTTTGTTAAAACTGCATTTGACTATCATATATCTTTCTGACACACAGAGCATGTATAATTCTCCAGTGGCAGTGAAAATGCTCGGGAAGATATTAAAGGCTTTATTGCAAACTGTTCGTCTTGACTTTGAAGAAAACTAAATTTAGAACAGAATAGAATTTAACTTGAAAAAGCTAAAGAAATTCAGTAGAAGAGAGAGACAACATAAAAACGAGAACAGCCCTAATAAAAGCATTAGCACTGTCCCTTCTTCAACACAATTAGCTTAAAAGAAATCAAGATGAGTTAAAGCAGTTCACAAAGTTTCAGGTACCTCTGAATAGGAGCAGGTCATGACATGAATGAACAATCCCCTACCTAGGCACCACCAAACCAAATCTGATTGCCTGGAGAATTGGCCAAGGAAGATCACTAAAGGGTGAGCTTGTTTGGTCACTATCAGGTATGCACACCATTCCATTAGCTATTATGCAGACCTACCCCTTTGCGTTCAGAGGGAGCCCTACATACAAATCAGTAGGTAGCAGCTTATTCCCATAAGAGTCAGTCATTCAAAACTATCCCAGTGGGTGGACCCTTATTCCCTCACAACTTCAATAGGGCTCCAACCAGGAGTAAAGGTCCATTTGAGTGCGTGTTTTTGTGTTTCAAGCCACTAGTTTTTAATTCTTATTTTAAAACTTTCCACGGTAATCCCCTAAGAACTAAGTCTCACACTGAGACTCTACCACCTTGAAGTTTCTTTTGTCATAATGGTTCGCTGTATCCTCAGCCTGACTTCTTTGAGGGACTACATCTTCCAGACAGCAGTTGGGAACTGGCAGCAAGGACAAAGCAGTTCTCATGGGAGACCAGGCCAATGGAGGAGGGCTGTTCAGACAGATAGGAAAATGGGGTGCATTGGGTCTTGTTCCTCCCAGGAGTCCCAATCCAATCTGACATCCAGTATTCAGAAACTGTCCCACCTGCCTCTCACAAAAGTCCATGGTGGCTCTTTGAAATTAGCTAGCTCCCCAGTTAATATGCATCTCAGAAAGAGGAAGCTTTTTATGTTATTTATTATGAATCTTTATTAACAGGTTTTCCAATTTCTAAGATTATGTTTTTTTTCCTCCTAGAGATCCAAACTCAATTTGCCTCTGTAGCCTCCCTCCCTTCCCCTCCTCCTGCTCCTTTTATCTGTTTAATCATTTGCTACAGATTATCTAAATTTTAGATTGTAAACTGTCTGGGGCTGGGAGTGACTTTATGTTATTTGTTTGTAAATGTCTCCTACAATGGACTGCTGATCCCTGCTTGGAACTGCATAGCAACAGAGAAATACCCTTTGCTGTTTATGTGCTCATTTGCTCCTTGAGGAGGGAAAATTATAGGCACGAGTCCCATCAACGGCCCCAGTGCAAAGCCAGCAGTTATTTCAGGAACAATTGTAATGCCCACCACCTCTGAGTATATCACAGTCCTGATCACTTCACAAACCTGTGCTATGACAACCCCCACAGCTAATTTGCCAACTCCAGACTGGCTAGCCAGGGACCTGTAGCAGATTGCGATAGCCAGCTTCCAGATGGCTATAGCAACCTGCATCTGGACTGATATATGACCTCCTCTACATGGGTGTCCTGGCACCTGATGGTTGGGGTAAACTGATCACCAGCCTCCAGAAACATCTGCTTCTTCATGCAAAAGTTCTGGAGCCACTGCAGATCATCCCAGGTCCGCATGATGATGTGATCTCACCAGTCTGTACTTATGGCTCTGCTCCAGAAGCACCAATCTACATATGAGGAGTCTACAGCTAAGGCATGAACAGCAACAGCTGGGTTGTAACCGGCATGTGAGTGTCCCTGTCTGAGAGGTGCCTTCGGCAGGCCAAAAACTGACATTGAAATGTCCACCGGCATCTCGCAGATGCTCTGCCTGATTCCTGAAATAGGACTGACAGCATGTGGTGGAGAAGTTCTTCCACTGGGTTAGAATCCATGCTGATGGCTCTGGCTCTTGGGGGTGTGCAGATACATAATGGCTCAGCTGGATATGTTGATGGGCAAAAACCATTCAGAACACTTCCTGCGTACTCCAGCTGGACAGACAGACAAGTTCTCCCACATCCCACTATGAACCAAGCCTGAGAGTGGCTACAGCTGGCGAAAGCGCTAGGAACTCTCGGATATCATGGTCTATGCCCACCGAAGCTGAAGTTCTGACTCAGATCTGAGCAGGGAAGTATGGATACACTAGCGTGGTTGTGAAGCCCAGGTTTCAAATGCAATGTGGATGCTCAAGTGCAGGCTTGGAAACACTGAGTCTGCAGGCACAGGTCCCACAGACCCAAGCTTACAATGCTGTGTAGACATTCTCATAGGCACCACTGCAACTACTATTAAAATAAAGCCATTTCTGGGTATCGTTATCAACAGCGAGAACAGATAAAAGGGAAACCTTTGAAGGCTGATCGACTCAAAGTCTGTCTTTCAATGTTGCCTCTTCTATTTGTTTGCAAAATGAATATAATTATTTTGTGGCATTTTAACAAAACAAAGACTGATGTGCATCCCCCCACATCCAAAACATGAAGTAATTTAAAAACTTGTGAGTCCAGAGATCACAAGCAATCCCAGAACAACAAAGCAGTGTGCAGGTGCAACAGAGGGAAAGAAATGTGATAAGAAAACAAATCTCAAGTTTCAAGCTTTTAAGGAGTTGTTCTATCAAATACTGGTCATGTGGAACCCTTAATTTACCTTTTTCTCCCTTGTCTCCTTGTTTGCAAATCTATCAGCATGTACAGGATACTGGCAGAATTTGTCTTTATCTTCTCCCTGCCTCTGCTGAAATCTTTTACATTCCTTAATCACCTCCGGGGTCTACTGCATGTATTGCAAGTTCTTCATACACGGTCTTTTTAAATGTCACATTTCTAAACTTCCAAAGATGTAGGATACAATGGGCAAACCATTCACATGTTCCAGGAGGCAGGAGCATATCACCACTAGCTTAATGCCTCACTCTTAATGGATTTTTATTCAACTTTGACTATAATGCAAAATGGGCTCTCTTTGCTTTTAAAATCCTACAGGGATTTGCAATACCCTACATCTTGACACCAGCCACCTTATCCATCTACGTTGGGTTTTATACCTCACTCTGACTGAAGTAGCTGAATGTTTGTTCTCCCCTTCTGCTCGTTCCATTCTTTCAGTTTTAACCTTCTCTTTCCCTATGCAATGCAAGAGCAGATAGCGGGGGACGGAGAGGAGAGGGGGGTTTTTCACTTGAAATGCCCCATCTAATTTGAATCACTGTGCCACTGAGCCTCTCTCTCTCTCTTACATCAACGGGTTTTGCTGTTAACAGTTGATTGACAATTTATACAAATGGTGCTACATAATAATAAGAACAATATTTTTAAAATTATAAACCAAATTAAGGGCCTGCTTCTGCTTCCAGCAGAAGTCGATGATGGTTTTACCATTGACTTTTAAGGACTTGGCAAGGTCTTTATGTACAAAAGACAAGGGAAAATGAAGCCTATATTGCCTAGAAAATGCAGCCATTGATGCAAAGTAAGTTCTGATTTCTTGCAGCTCTCAATTGTGTTTCTTGGTGCTGACAAGTTACAGCAATATCTGGTTTCAGAGTAGCAGCCGTGTTAGTCTGTATCCGCAAAAAGAACAGGAGTACTTGTGGCACCTTAGAGACTAACAAATTTATTAGAGCATAAGCTTTCGTGGGCTACAACCCACTTCTTCGGATGATGGAGAGACCAGATCCAAATATTATCCACAACTCAGACTTAACAACGTTGCTGTGATACATAAAAACTCTCCTCTACCCTGAAGGAAGCTTTAAATCAGCAACTCATAGTTCCTACAGTGAGACTACAGATAGCTAGAATGCTGGTTGAAACCAAGGAAAAGTTTTTTCATTAAATGTTTGCTCCTTTTTTAAATTGCAGCCTGTCCAATTGGCTCTAGAAAGCAACTACACTGTGAATCACCTAGTGCCACTTGTCTGGAATAAATGCAATGCAGCATCAATCTGCCCACGCGTGTGTCCTTTTCCCTTGGTTTCAAGCAACCTCTTTCCAGATATTCTCAGCTGCTGCTCAGCTATATTGTGCTCCTCACTGTATCTGGAAAAAAAATGGAGTTTATGTTCTCATCACCACAAAAATGTGGTAGGGTATTCATATGCTGATTTAGCTGGCCTTACAACATTTGTGTAAGGGAGCATCTCCTCACAATTTCACCCAGACTGCCAGAAGGAAACCTGCAGCCCTATGCAACGGTGCATAAAACGTTGAATGAGAAAATGCTGCAGTTTAACTGCAGGACCAATATTTAGCACAGCAACTACCCAAGTTGGTCCATTGCCTCAGATAACATAATACACAAGGGCTATATGTGCCTTCCATGCTCTGCTCAGAGCTTACATGTGCATGGCAGTGACTTACTGAATGAAAACTAATGTACCGAGACTATAGGAAGGGTTACTCATAAAGTCTGTGAATACTTTACACATTTGGTAAAGAACACCTGTGCCAATTGCAATAAGACAACAATATGTTCAAAACTTTAAGTGAAGCAGAAATTCACACTCATTGGCATGTTACCTGTACATGCTAGAAAGGCTTCTGGTGCATGACTACATCAGGATGTGAAAAATGGGAAATTGAGTTATATTTCTTAACCCATTAGGGTTGACTGGGGAAATCAGAACTGTACTGCAGCTTTAAATTGGGCTTTGCCATGTATCAGGTATCATTCTGTGCTGGTATCTCTTGCTTGGATTAAAGTGAGCTGAAATTCAAAGCAAAGGAGATACTGTTTCGGTAACAGTGGGGGCTAGGTTAATAGCAGAAAAAGAGTGAAAGTCAGCAGTTTCCTTGGTTCTACTATATATTGACCTCAGGCATCACTTGACCTCCTAGTGCCTCAGCCAATATGGCTGAAAAATTGGGTAAACAACTGGTTGAAAACCAAGTAGTGTCTCTGTACTGAGAGTTCTTGAATAAATAAATAAATTATACATCATGCGATATTGGAGGAAGACAATTTTTTAGCTGTCTCTACATTTTCAACCAATCAGTAAAATGCTTTAGAAGGAAGAGAATACTGGGTAGGTTGCTTAATTTGCCTGGGCAGAACTGAAGCCATAACCCCATTCTAGATCATAACCGTAACCCCAAATATAGATCATGGAAAGAATGCTCTTATGAAAAATGCACTGCATGTGACATCAATCTATGAAAAAGATGTCAGGGCCATGGTGGTTAATCAGGTGAGCATGAACTCCCATTGTGGCACTGTGGCCAAAAGAGCTAATGAGATCCTGCGACGCACAAAGAAGGGAATCTCAAGTAGGAGTAGAGGGGTTATTTTACCTTTGCATTTGGCCCTAGTGCTACTGCTGCTGGAATAACGTGAACAGTTCTGGTGGAGGTTGATAAATTGGAGAGGGTTCAGAGAAGATGCACAAGAATGGTTAAACCATTAGAAAACTTGCCTTATAGTGCTAGACTCAAAGAGCTCAATCTACGTAGCTGAACAAAGAGAAGGTTAAGGGGTAGCTTGATTATAGTATATAAGTATCTACATGGAGAACTAATATTATGAATGGGTTCTTCAATCTACCAGAGAAAGGTACATCATTATCCAATGGCTGAAACTGGAAGCTAGACTGGAAATTTTTGACAGTGAGGGTAATTAAACGTTACAACAATTTACCAAGGTTTGTGGGGGATTCTCCATCCCTGGCAATTTTTAAATCAGGACTGGATGTTTTTCCAAAAGATCTACTCCAGGAATCATTTTTGGGATTTTCTATGTCCTCTGTTATACAGGAGGTCAGACACTAAATGATCACAGTGGTCCCGTCTCCCTCAGTTGTGTATCTTCATGAAGATACACACACCATGCAATAATGTTCACACGTCCTAAAAATATTTTTAAAGCCTTTATGCAGAGAAAACAATTTCAGAATTATATTAAATGTAAATGTAAATAATGTCAGTGAAAAGTGAGTCAGTGATGGCTTTAGTATCATAATGATTCAATAAATATTTCTGTTCTGTAACTGGATAAAAGCCAGATGGTGTCTTCATATTATATGATGTAATACTTTCCATTGTGACAGGAACTCAGGAAGATGTTAAACAGCATCTACTAAAGTTAGATATTTTTAAATCAGCTGTTCCAGACAACTTGGATCCAAGAGTTTTAAGACAGCTGGCCAATGAACTCTCTGGACCATTAATGTTGATTTTTAATAAGTCTTGGAACACTAGGGAAGCTTCAGATGACACCTAAAAGCTAATGCTCTGCCAAAATTTTACAAGGGTACCTGGGACAAACCAAGTAATTATAGGCCTGGGCAAAATAATGAAATGGCTGATACTGGACTTGATTAATAAAGAATTAAAGAAGGATAACATAATTAATGGCAATCAACATGGGTTTATGGAAAACAGAGCCTGTCAAACTAACTTGATATCTTTCATTGATGAGATTATAAATTGGGCTGATGTAATATACTTAGACTTCTATACGGCATTTGACTTGGTACCACACAACATTTTGAATAAGAAACTAGAATGAGACAAAAAACAATATAGCACATATTAAATGGATTTAAAACTGCCTTACTGATAGTACTCAAACTTTAACTGTAAGAAATATTTTGACATTTGTTTTGATCCTGAAATGGGATGAAAAGTCAAAATATCAATTTCTATTCAGGAATGAAAAGTTTAGATTCAGACATGTCAAAACAGAGGTGTTTGTAGTGGGGTTCTGTAAGGACCAGCTCTTGGCCCTATACTATTTAATAATTTTTATCAATGACATGGAAGAAAACATAAAATCTTTCCTGATAAAGTCTGCAGAAGACACAAAAATTGAGGGAGTGGTAAATAATGAAAAGGAAAGGTCACTGATACCAACTGGATCAGTTGGTAAACTGGAGGCAAGCAAACAATATGTTTTTCAATACAATGAAATGTAAGATCAGACATCTAGGAACAAAGACTGCAGGCTATATTTACAGGATGGGGGACTCTATCCTGGGAAGCAGTGACTCTGAAAAAGATTTGGGGGTCATGCTGGATAATTAGAATAACATGAGCTCCCAGTGTGATGCTGTGGCCAAACCGGCTGATGCAATCTTTGGATGTGTGAACAGAGGAATATTTAGTAAGAGTGGACAGGTTATATTACTTCTGTATTTGGCACTGGTGTGACTACTATTGGAATACTGTGTCCTGTTCTGATGTCCACTATTGAAAAAGGATGTTGTAAAACTGGAAAGTGTTCAGAGAAGAACCACAAATAATTTTTCTCTGAGTTGGATTAATTTAATAAATTAGAAGAACTTTAGGGTGAGTTTCACACTCTATACAGTTTGACAGAATGGGGTCTTGAATGTCTTGATAATGAAATATTTACACCCACTCATTGGCATGTGAAAAGTCCCCATGTAATGTTCCAAAGCAGGTTTTCATTAGAATAGGTTGGCAGGATGCTGAGGATTCTTTTGCAGCATTCTGTGTGTATGGAAAACATGCCTTATATCAAAAGACTCAAGGAGCTCTATCTATCTAGTTTATGAAAGAGAAGGTTAAGGGGTGAGTTGATCAGAGTCTACCTTCATGGGGAATAGAAACTTGATAGTAGAGGGCTCTTCAATGTAGCAGACAAAGATACCATGAGATCCAATGGCTGGAGGTTGAAGCTAGACAAATTCAGACTAGGAACAAGGTGCACATTTTTCCATGAGGATAATTTACTATTGGAACAATTTAACAAGGGCTGTGGTGGATTCTCCATCACTGGCAATTTTAAAATCAAGGTTTAGAAGTCTTTCTAAAATATAGGCTCTAGTTATGCTTTAACAGGAATTAATGCAGGGAAGTTCTATGGCGTGTGTTATGCAGAAGGACAGAGTAGATGATCACAATGGTTCCTTCTGGTTTTATAATCTATGAATCTATGAAAACTCTAATTATCAGAGTAAAATTACTCCGGATGTGCATAATGATAATGCTTTTCATCCAATGATCTCAAAGCACTTTACATCATTAAAGGATTGAGTCTCACAATATCTCTGAGAAGTAGGTAAGTATCAGTATCCCCATTTTTATGATGAGGAAAACTGAGGCACAGAGAGGCAAAGTGTGACATGACTAATGTCACACAGGAAACCTACTGAAGAGCAGGAAACAGAATCCAGGTCACCTGACTCCCTGTACTGTGCTTTAAATACAAGATCATTCCTCCTCTGATTAACCTACGCATCTGCACAGTTCTAAGGGCCCTGCATCAACACACACACAGGTGTCACTACAGGAAGGCAGGAAGCAACCTGAAGAAGAGGAGGGTGGATACTAATATTGGGAGGAAGATGAACAGGGATTTCCACATGTTATCCTGCAAAGCCTAGGGTTGGCCCTAATTTTAATCATCAAGAACACATGTTGTGTGAAATATCTATGACTAATTTTTTTTCATGCAGTACTTGGAAATAAACTCATTTTAAGGATTACAAATATTTTTGTTATTATGTAGTGCAGGCTGTGAAAGGCTTTTAACAAAATAATTTCAGTAAGCCTTGATGTCATGTACTATTCTCCACACTTCACAAACACAGCCAAGTCATGAGGCACGCAGGGCAGGGTGCAGATATGGTACTCTGCCCCCATTGCAATTAGTGGTGATGGAGTGATCAGTGCATTCATCAGAAGAAACAATGAAATTGCATTAATTCATAGCTTTAATACCTATATCAAGTGCAGACACTTATGTATGAATAGGGTATTGATTAGAGAAAGGGACAGCTCAACAACAAAGAAAACGAGATATAATAGGAGAGCAGAGGTAGATAGACAGTATAAAACTTTTTCCATTTGAAGCGAACAATGAAGCATGCTATTATTAAACTTCTCCTGCTATAATACAGTACATTATACAATATAATTAATGCCCATCCCAATAAGCAATATGCAATCACACCTTTTGCAAATATACATGAGCGAGTCAGAGAATTTATGGGTGTGTTTTTCTAGCTCATTGATATCTGGCTACTGCATCAGAATTATCCTAGATGCGTGGTTTATGTTTTCTTGAAAAGTGGATTTCTCTCTCCCCCAAAGAACAACCAATATGATCTTTCAAAGAAATTGTAACTAGGGGATGCTGAAATTCTTTAAAAAAAATTAATTAATGAAACACATGATTTTTTCCCCCAGATAAAATAATCACTTTGCTTATGGTGATGAGACTTATTTTTCAAAAAGTTATTTCTTTACAATATTCATTTCTGTAAAAAAAAGATTTTTTTAAAGACAAATCACCTGTATTACTATAGTTACTAACTTAATATCACAGGAAAATGATACTTTATGTAGAAAAATATCTTTGGTACACCATACAAAGTCTCACAAGCTTTTCTCTTCACAGCCCCATTTATACATTCACGCTAGGTGACTATGAGTATGTGGGAATAAATGCCAGATGTTCTCTCTTACCTCTGAGTCTCTTCAGTCTCTGCTCCCTCCTCCTCCTTCGCACAATCAGCAGAAGCACAAAAAGCAGCAAGACCCCCACCAAGATACAGGAAATGGTCACCAGCATCTTTAGCCCTTCGTTGGTCGCCAGACCTTCCTCACTTTGGACAACTGATTTAATGAGTGGAGGGATTGTACCTGGAAACAGTGTCATGACATTAGATGCCTATTAATGAAGAGAAAAGGTTGAGTTTTCATAGAAATTGTACTGTATCTTCCAAGGGCATACAAGCCATTAAGAGGGTTTTGTCATGTTCAGCGTGGTATTACCTTCACACATGACATATTTAACTATTACAAAGAAACTGCAGATCTAAAGTCTAACCTATTTGTTTCATTCTTTACTATGGGAAATTAGTATTTGTGTAACAGATTTACATCATTTATCAGGTATTCCTTTAAAAAGGAATGTACATTCACTGCTATGTACATCAAATGGGCCCTTTAAACAGAAACATTCTTGTATCAGGTGTCTAAGTGGGCAGCACTGCATTGATCTTGAATTCAGATAACCTACCTGCTGCTAATTCTGGAGCTGATAGACTTTCTGAGGTTTAGCTCATGAAAGAAACAGGACAACAAGGATATGAGGAAACCATGATATTTTAGAAGTGGAGTAGGGGAAGTAGTTTATAAAGCACAGCCATTATAAGAGTCAGGCAACTTGCTCTTTTCATTTTGGGATGCATTTGCATTTTCAGCATCATTCCCTGATGTATGGTCTGTAATACTTCACTCTTTGTTTTCCTTTTCAGGGATATGAGCAGCATGCAGCACTTTCTAAAGAAAGCTGTTTAATCGTGAGAAGGTTCTCATTCACTTCCTGATTACTAGTAACCTGCTATATGCATCCACAAATGAGGCTATAAAATGTAGATTTGTGTGGAACATGAGTAGAAATATGTAAGTATTGTGAACTCTGATGACTGCAGATGGACGCTATTTAATTTTAACCAGCTACGGAAGCATAAAACTGGCTATCTGCTTGCTGAATGGATAGAAGGTTAGGATTAAAAAACAGATACATTCTCTTTTACATCTGTACTCCTGTATTGTGTCATATGGCTGTCTCTCATTATGTAGCATATAAAATCATACAAGTATTATGATGTGATGCAATGTAAGTGCCATAATTACAGGTCAAATGTAAAGATCTACACCCTTTTTGCAGAATAGCTACTTGTTTTGTACATAATAAGCACAGTGATACCCTAAAAGACTTTGGGTAACCACAGGATGTGCCAACGTCCAAGGTTATCTCAGATACTTCTGCACATTTATTTTCATACGGTAGCATTTTTCATACACATTGTGTAGGGTTTTTTTCCCCTTTGCTGAGCTACAGTGTTCACGTTATACCAGAAATAATGTGGTTTAATAGGAAACCAAGAATAACAACAGCTTTATAGAGTAAAGCATGAAAACACATTTACACAGAACTAACGGAAATGGTTAGCTAAGGGAACGACAGAGAGAATGATCAGCTAAAGATATGGAAAGAGCTGCAAACTAATGAAGGGCAAACTAATCTCTGCAAAGTAATCATCTCAAATTCTCCTGAATACTAATGACTAAAATTTGCCTTCACTTACAGTTACATATACCCTTTGGCTGAGGAGAGAGTTAGGCTCAGTAGTATCTAAAAAATATGTCTTTCGAGATGCTATATTTTGACTTAAGTGGTATTAAAATAATGTCCTAACTTTAAATTAAAACCTCAGTTTTTAGGTAAATACATTAAATGTTCTATAACTATTCTAAATAAAGTGCAAACCTGGTACATTATAGATGAGCACTGTTAGTTTAATACAATATGTACCACAAGTTTAATAGAATTATATATGCTTCACACAATCAGTGTATGATGTTTAGTGTGTGTAATTAGTGCTGAGCAAAAAACAAAATTTCCATCCCATGGCAATTTCTGATATTTCAACATTTGTTTTCATCCCAAATTGCCATTAAAACTTAAAATATCAAAACTTTTCACAGAACAAAAAGTTATAAATAATTTCAGTTTGCAAATGTTTTGTTTTGGATCAGTTCAACATTCATCTGCATCTGCTGAGCTGCTGTGGTGCCTCATAGGAGTTGTAGTTCAGGTGCCTCATGACCCCATTTACCCCTATGGGCCAGCCTCCCCAGCCAGCCTACATATCCCATGATACACTCTGGACCTGGTACTCCAGAATGTCTTACTGCATTCCAGCTATTGTTGGCTGTTGGATGGGCCTTTGTGGGCCTAGTCAACTAGTGTAGTTTAGAGCTGCTACTGAACTGTTCTAATTTATTCCAGGATTAGTACTAAACCAGCCTTAGAATTAGTGATTCAAAACTGGCTCCTTTGTATTCCCCGATGCCATCCCCACCCCTATGCTCAGTGGATATTTACAGCTAAGAATCCAAACCTAAGTATTTTGGTTTGAATGTAACTGAAACGCAAGCAAAAATAGAGGGGACACAAAATACTGCAAACTGAAACCACTGGGAAAGGTTAGCTGACATGTGAGGGAACTGAAATCAAAGAATTTCACAGAGCTCTAGTATGAATGCTCTAGCCTTTCAGACTAACTGGCTGTACAGAGCTTTATGTTTTAGGGCATTTAACCTAACACCTATTAGCTGTTCCAAACCAAATGCAAACCAAACAACTGAAAGGATGTGCAATTCAGAACTTTCTGCTAACTTTCTGAAGGTTTTACCCAAATTCTACTATTGCTAACAAGCACTCGTCTGTAGCACTTTACATCTTAAAACCCCAGTACAATAGTCCTTAAAACAACTTACAGTACATAAATTCAGAAGTATTATTATTTCCTTTCTACCGGTGGGGAAATTGAAACAAAGACCGGTAAAATGATTTGCCCTAAGTCACACAATGAGTCAAAAAGATCAGGATTAGCACTCATGAATAGAACTGGTTGGAAATTTCACATCTGAATGATTTTCTAATAAAAAATTCATCTTCTGCAAAATTAGAATTTTCCTCAGGATATTTTGAGTTTCCATTGGAAAATTGTCTCCAGCTCTATGGCTCCCCCTATCTTGGCAGCCCACCAGAGAGCAGTTAGGGAGCCAGAGAACATGAGGAGTATATTTCATTTTGGCAACACTGAAAAACATCCCTGTGGCTGGAATGTTTTGGTGTTTCTACAACAAATTATTTCAGAATTTCATGGTTTTTGTCTCAATTTGGGATGAAAAAAATCCTTTCATGTAAATAAAATTCTGCTTCCCATCCTGCTCTACAAACTCTTCTGATTCCCAGTCATGTGCTCATTTTTCTAGATCAAACTCTCTTTCTCTAAGGCTGACTGTAGCCACTTTGGCTGTAGATCTTCACTACCAAAGCATTGTTATCAAACAGGATAATCAGTGTCATAAATGTCTGCTGCTCTTTGTGAGATTTTCCAGTTGACCAGAAGCAGTGCCCCATTGAAATATAAATACTTTTACAGTTTTATTGTCTTCTTATTGCAGATTCCATATCGCAGCACACAAAGTTAAATGGCACTTAGATAACGTTATGTGAATTAAATTATTTACCGTCTACTGACCAAAAAGCATGTGAGCTGCCTTTTGAAAACAGTTTTTCATATGAATTTAGTGGCTAACTGCTCTAGTTCTTTTATTATACATTCTGGTCTGCTCCTTTCACAACATCCCAACTTAATGTGCAGCTTAAAACAGCAGATCCAGTCATGCAGTAATTATTGTGCTTGGCTTTTTTAAATGTCAGGAAAAGGCAGAAAAACTGTGTGTGAAAGGATTGAGAAGGAGGAGACAGAAGGGTTTAAGTAAAACACTAAGAAGTCAGCTGATGGTACTTGAGTTATAGCCAGCACTGATTGTATAACACAGTAAGGAAACCTCCTGCACCAAAATAACTTACTACACTCAAAAAGGACTAGTTTTAACTATTAGTCCAGCACTCTGAGTTGTTCAGTGTTAGGTTACTTAGTGAGTTTGGAGTTCTGTCACAAAGAAACTCCAGGGAATGACACTGCAGCCAATCACACTCTTTCTGGTGATGGTTGCAGGCACCAGTCAAAAAAAAAAATCAAAATGACTCTTGGATGGAAGAGAAACATTAGATATTATACAAAAACTGCATCTAAACCAGTGGGTCTCAACTTATTTATCATTATAGGCCATATATGTGGCCCACAATATGTTACCTGGGCTGCAGAGGCTGGGTGACAGGGCAGTGGCAGCCCCCACCCCGACCCTGGACCCCTGGAGTTGTGGGGTCAGGCAGCTGCCCCACCCTGGACCTCCGGAGCTTGCGGGGCCGGGTGGCAGCGGGTTGAGAACCACTGAGCTAAACCAAATACATAAAATGGATGCACTTACTGCCATCATAGTTGAGTGTGGCAAATTTGGCCTGTTTCTCTGCACAGCCTGCACTGTTGCACACTCTCATTTGCAGTTCATACCAAGTTGCTTCCTGGAGGTCATATAGTATGTAGGACTTAGAAAGTGACGTCCGCTGAGCCGTTGTCCATACTGTGGTCCGAAATGGCCGGTACTCCAGAGTAAAGGAGGTGATTGGACAACCACCATCATTCCAGCCAATAAGGTTCAAGCGCACTCGAGTGGTGTTAATACTGGCAAAGAGTTCTTGTTCTTTGGAAAACTGTGGCTCTAAGAGAAAGTATATTGTAAGTGAAATACTTAAAATAAATAAAAATAAATAAGGAATAATTGACAGGACGGTCCTGCCTTTTTCATAAATCATTCTCAAAGTGTCCACTAGTCAGCAAATTTTTCTCCCCGTTTTAAAATGGTTTTTTTTTCAGAGACCCAGATTTTTAAACCCAGAAATAGTGTGCGTGCACTTCTGTGTGGACTGGACTTGCACAAGTCAGTTTGCACTTTTGCACAAGTCAGTTTGAAAATCTACAACCAACATTTCAGAATGTTATTCACTGCTGCCCAAACAAAAACCAAATATATAGAAAACTAAGTGAAAGTGTAATAGAAAGGCAGGTAAACTTGGAAAAAAATTGTACATTAGTGAATTGCCCTTTAGGGCTATATTCTTCCTTTGAAGTAGAACTGATCAAAATTTTTCAGCCGTAAATTTTGGGGTATAAGGGGCTTTGTCAAAATCAAAATATTTTGTGGGAAAATGTTAATTTTGACATAATCTTCTGTTTTTGTGATGGGAAAACTCAAAGCAAAAGCATCAAAATGTTGACATTTTGAAATGAAACACTGTTTTGTTCAAAAATGTCCAATTTTTTTGTTTTGAAGTTTCTGAATCTAAAATTTTCATTCCTGAAAAGCAACTGATATTTTGACTTTTCATCCCATTTCAAGATCAAAACAAATGTCAAAAATACTGGAATTTCCCATGCTACGGAAATTCTGTTTTCTGACTAGCTCTACTTTGAAGCATATGGGCAAGTCTCATTAATGGTAGAGGGAACAGACAGTATATCTTTAAATTAACAAAAAAGGACAAAAAACTTCAGATTCAGAGGTAAAATTTACCAAATCATTTTGGGATATTATTACCTTAAATCAAGAAAGAGAAGCAGCTAAGGTGCACATAAGGGCTTGTACTGCTAACCTATTCTGTCATGATAAAGACATAGCTGAAAATGTTTTCAGAGACAAGGTAGCTGAGGTAATTTACCCCTTCTGCTTCACAATCTATCCCAACTTGTATTTAGTTCAGAAACTCTGCTTCCTTTTCCAGACCTTGAAAGCTTGTACCTTCCACCAACAGAAGTTGGTCCAATAAAAGATATTACTTCATCAATCTTGTCTCTCTCATGCCCAGGGACCAACATGGTTACAACAACAATGCAAACAATGTTTTCAAAAGCAATAACAAAATACTCAAAGCAACTAAAATTGGAACATCTGTGCTTCTCTTTCTAACCAGAACAACAGAATTACTTCTATAGCAGGATGGGAGAGTTCACACTCATTAACTGTGTGAGTAAACAGGACAGCAATTAAGTACCTTTTCCAAGTGTTTTGGCCTCTATGATCTCACTGATGCGTCCTGGTCCCACTCCATTTTGAGCAGTTAGTGTGAACTTGTACCAGGTACCACATTTCAAGGTCTCTAAACGGTAGGACCGTTCACTAGGGCTAATGGGAAAACTACCCCACTGCTCACTATTATCTTCAGAGTACTGCAGTATGTAACCTGCAAGAAAAGCAAAGACAATGATAAACCAGGTACCTAACTTCTTTAGAAGATACAAATCACAAATTCTGCTGAATATGACAAGATATTATGAGGATTTTATATATTAGGAAACCTTTTAGCACAGAAAGATATTGAACTCTCTTCTTACTGGATTAGTTCCAATAGATTCTGTGTAATATAAATATACATATGACTTGCGTACGTGACTTCCGTGACCTCCGTGACAGACACAGAGCCCTAATCATTATTATATGCCAGGCCTATAAAGAGATGATAATTTAGTAAGAAGTTGCAGTTAACCTGAATTCTATTACCTCGGATAGAACTACCACCATTGTCTCCAGGTATCCAGGAAAGAGTGATAGAAGAAGATGTGGTTTTGGACACAGTAAGTCTTGGCTGGTCTGGTGGCACTGGATGGGAAGGAGTTAAAAATAGAAAATTGATTTAAATGATTATGCATAGCTTCAAACCATTCTAACAGTCATTTATCAAATAACTGTTTTGTGTGGCAAAAATGCAAATTATTTCTGTCAAAGTGTCTGTATAGTTGACATCCTCAGTTAGGAGCGAGCAGACAAGCTCTCATTTTTTATATTTAAATTTCTATACAATTTTATCTTTCATTTTTCCCCACTTTTTCTCTGACTATCTGTATTTCTCAGCACTGCTATCCTGCAGGATCTCTTTCCAAATGACCAGGAATACACTTGGCCTCTCATAATTAACTTTCTATTAATTTTCATGCCTGTTTTAAGCGCAATGGCTGCAAGTTTAGCTGATGGAAATTGAGGCCCGTTTGCAAATAAATGGCACACGCAGGGATGCGTTTGCACCAAATAGTGGTAATTGCATATGCAAAACTGGGTACATACACATTTTTTGTTCAGCTCCATGTGCTGAAAATTTAGCTGTGTGCCTTAAATGGCACAGGAATGGAGTATCTCTGCCATGAGGAAATCCAGCTTCCTCTTTGCAAAAGCAGCTTTTGCAAAGCCACAGCTCCTCCAGATGTTTCTCTTCCACTCACGATGCCCATCCACATGGAGGAGATGCAGCACTACCAACAAGAGGTGGGTAAACCTGGAGAAGTTTTGGTTCTGTTGCTGTGCACAGTCTATCAGACCCAAGAGTTTTCCTGGACATAGAGGATGGATTCCCAGAGCAGAGTGCGTCTGGGGCTGATTGTGGGAAAGTGACCATCCCTCACTCTTTTTCACGGTGACAAAATATCATGATTCCATCACGTGAGCTCATCTTGCAATATTCTGGTTCATTTTGGGAGACTCATACATGGCTTTAATTTCCAACAGACCTATTTATCTAGTCCTATTATGCCAACTGAGAATTCCTGAATGTGGGGACTGAAAATGCAGTGCATCCTGTGGACTCCTCGAAGATGAACATTTGCCAAGCTAATGCTGTTTGTTAAAAAATTAACGAGTAGTGGTAGGTGAAATTCCAAAGAGTTGATTCAGTTTGGATCAGAGGCCTAGGGTCTGAATATTTATCTAAACTTTATCTGAATCACTTGGGTTTGCAATTCTGAACTAGAAATTTGATGAGAAAAAGCTCTCGTATGATTTCTGAGACTGCCTGGTTAGAGTCAGGCCAGAAATATGGCAAGGAAAATTTGTGTGGTATTTTGTCACATCACGTAACCCTCTGCTCCTAGTTTGAACCAAGAGAGGCAGAGGTTCAAGATTATCATAAATTAATATTTTTTAAAAAGTTATATACACTTTACAATCACAACACACGTTCAGTTCAAGTCGAGGTTTTGTCTGAGAGTTTGGATTTGTTTTCTCTCTACCCAACCAGGCTTATCCATCCTTACTTTCAGGTACTGATGAGTGGATAAAAATTGGTTTGAGCATTGGCCTGCTAAACCCAGGGTTGTGAGTTCAATCCTTGAGGGGGCCACTTAGGGATCTGGGGCAAAATCAGTACTTGGTCCTGCTAGTGAAGGCAGGGGGCTGGACTCGATGACCTTTCGGGGTCCCTTCCAGTTCTAGGAGATAGGATATCTCCATATATTATTATTATTATTATTATTTGCCCTTTTCTGAGGGAATCCCTGCCCCTATCATTTACACATCTACATGTTCCTCCTAAGAATTCTATGATGTATTCCATACTGTAAGAAACACCTCTGAAATCTCTAGGATTGGAAACTAGAGCTGATCGGGAACTTTTTTTATGAAACGTTTTTTTCATAAAAAAATGCCAATACATCAAAAACAAAACTGTCTGAGAAACAGGTAAGTTTAATGAATCTCCTGGCGTGAAATTTTTTTGGAGAAAAATTTTGAAACTGTCAAAATCTTTTGTTTCAACGTTTTCAAAATGAAAAATTCAGTTTGTCCAGTTTGAAATGACTTTTTGTTTAGAAACCTAAGCCAATTAGAGTGAAAAAGAGGCATGAAGAAAAAAAATGTCAAAATCAAACATTTTGAAATGATCAAAATGAAATGTTTCACTTATCCTGAACTGAATTATTATTATTATTTTTTGGTTTGTGAAAATTTAGTCCTGATTCAGAATAAGGAAATATTTTCACACTCTTCAAAATATTCCCAAGATTGGAAAACTGTTTCCCACTCAGCTCTGTCAGAGACATCCTGCCCAGAAATGCTTGGAGGGAGCAGAATCTTAATATAGGTTCCATCTCTTTTTTCACCATAGATAGAAGAAGTGAGAAAGAAACTGGAGGCTGAAGCATGTGAAATTGAACACTATGGGTGAAATCCAGACTCCACTGAAATCAATGGCAAAACTCCTATTGACTTCAATGAAGCCAGAATTTCATCCTATAGGTCAGATTCACTAGCATACTTCAGCTACTAAGCACAGTTCTAGTGACACAAAGCAGCTGTAAATACAGCTGGATTTATGGACTCTTTGTGTTCCCCAGAGCAAAGCAGCTGGAGTAATCTGCTGAAATTCCCATTCAAGTCACAGGACAGCAATTTGATCAGTGCTGATGTGAAGCAAGACCACCAATTTCACCTCGTTTATAGGGGGGCTGATCTTAGTTACTTAAGTCGCTAAGTACAGTATGAGTGCTGGAGAAAAAATAAACTCTGTACTCCAGGGAAGATTAATTACATCAGATGTACTGTACCATTGCTCCCTTATTCCTTTTGCTTTGGTACATTCCACTGAGAGTTACTGAACATATTACACACTGTAGTAAGTGAAGGCCCTAATAAAGGCCCAGTATGAGGCTTCGGGCCTGAACTAAAGTAATGGTCAAGACTTGGCTAACATAAAGCAAAGTTAAGCTGTGAGCCAGAGGCAGGCCCTGCTCACAGAAGCTGGCAAGGAAAGGGCTGATGCTGCAAAAAGAGACATACCTAAAAGGTACTGGACACCAGATATCAGAACATACACTATACTGGAACATTCCACAGATAACATGGAACAGGCCAACCCATCCCAATGACAGGGGCAAAAGGGTAAAATGATGGATAGAGTTGTTTTGATTGAACCAATCTGTACAAGGTGAGAGGCAGCACCTTGCTACGTGGAGGGGTTGCACCTCAATACGTCAGGAGTGATGTGTAACTCGTTTGTACCTGTGTATAAGAATGTATCCCTGGGGTGGTGTCTTTGTCCGGCCAAGGGGGCAGTGGAAAGACCCGCCACTGAGCCGGGTCCATTGCCAAGAGGCACTTTCTCATAGTATGCCCGGTAGACTAAGTAATCTACGGGGAACTGCAATTGTGTCCAATTTTGCAATAAACCTAGTCGACGAGACTTTGCATCTTACTAGACTCTGTGGTTATTGGGGGTTCTCTTCGGGTCTGCTGGGTCAGCTATCTGCGTAGAGCTGGGGCAGCACACAGAGGGAACACACGCATGCAGCCGAGTGATATCAACATAGGAGAAAGCAGAGCACCACACCGGTAGCATCTGACAACACACACTAAAAGATTGAACATAAAATTTTTCATCACAGTTCTCACCTTCTCCACCTAAGATCCCACATATTAGATGCAAATCTCTCTTTATTCCAAGGAATTAATAGTGATTTGCTTTTAATTATTGCAGTTTAATAACTTCGAGAATATACAATTATGAAAGTATGTATCAGAGTACAAGAAACAAGGCTTCAACCTAACATTATTTCTGTCCCATTTCTCTATTTTGATCATGTTTCAGACATTACAAAAAAGCATCCCTGCTTCTTTGTTGGATTTTAGGTGAGTTAATGCACTCACTGATATTTGTTTCAAGGCTTAATAGATAGGGATACATAGAAATACCTACACTGCCATAGAGACCACCTCTCTCTTTGTGTTCTAAATTGCTGGGCTGCTTGAGCTCACAATTTTTAGGATCGTATATCTGGGGACTGGGAACAGAGTGTTTTCCAAAGAGTGTTCCATGTGCTCAATTCAGTAATATATTTCCCAGATCTGATAAGTTTTTGACAATTAAGGCACATTGCAAGGGTTATTTGCTCAAGCTTTGCACTGAGGGGGAAAGAGGAGGAGACTCTTGTGAGTTGAGGAATCTTTGTGTGTGTGTGCATATGAACATTGTGTGCTTTTGTTGACATTAGTGTTATATATATTTTCACATTGTTTGTGCACCTAGCAATACCATATTGGGTGACTGTATACATTTAAAAAATATTATAGGAGGTACCTGGTAATACCTGCTAACTAAGATTACAGTAGAGGAAAATATTAATACCCCCTCTTATAGTCACCATAGCTTTCTGTACATTTCTCCTTTCATGCTGAAGTTTTCCATGCTAGGTCTCAGTCCAGCAAAATTTGATTTGGGAAGTTTAAACAAAATTCCTTCAGCTACTGTTAAATTTTGCAACTTTAAAATGATATATTTATATATACATAACAACAGTAAAAGCATAAGATGCTATTTTCCTCGTGTAGAACTCAAAACCAATTGAAAGTGAACACTTTGGACCCGATTCTGCAAATGCTTATCCACATGCTTAACTTTAAATGCATAAACAGTCCCATTGAAGTCAGTGACTTTATCATATTAATTTTTAGCTTGCAAAATGTATACCATAAAATATACAGGATGATAAACTGCGAAGCAGCCAAGTCATCGTTACTAGGAGAACCTTTCTTATGAGTTCTCATGTCTCGTTTTTGATTATTTAAATTTGCAAAAATATTGTTTATACATAGGCATGCAAACACACGCGCACACACACACTTAAATATACATTACACACACTCTCACACATTAACTAACAGCCATGATAAGACTGTCAAAACAATTATGTAAAAGGTCCAATTGGCTTACCTTGCACCTGCAAATTCAAAATAATTTCATCAGATCCCCAGTTGTTACTGGCCACACAGCTGTAATATCCAGAATCCTCTGCTTTCACAGTACGGATAACAAAGCTGCCATTGCTAAAGATGCTTCTTCGCCCATCAATCATCACTAGACTGGGTGTCCCGTTACTACCTCACAGGAAACAAAATGCATACATTAAAGAAGTTACAATCGGATTAAAACAAACAAAAGAAAGAACAGGACCCCCTTTAGTTAAAGCAGCACTGGAAGCCTGCTGCTGGAGAATGCCAATGGTCAGTATTTGGATAAGTGGGAATCCTGGCTATGATTTGAATAATAAAGGAGAGGGCTCCCTCCTTAATTATCCACCACTTCAAAAAGTACAACCAACTCGGGACATAATGTAACTCAGAGTTGTACAATGCATCATAATCACTGGTATGGGACATGGATTGCTCTCTCATAGCTTCCAAGTATCACTGCTGATCCAATATTTGGATCAAATTATTGCCCATACAGTTACAAGCATGGCTCTCCAACGCATGACCAGTATGTTTAGAAAAGAGCAAAATGTGTGTCGTGTACTATACTCATGAATGTTTTCTTTTTAGAAAATCACTACTATTGGCATTTACCATGGATTTTGATTCACATTAGCAACACAATGATCACTGACAGTACAGTTATATTCCCCAAGCCTGATATCTAAATAGCAATTAAAACTATATTTAAAGTATTTAATATTTATCTCCTCCCCTCCCCCCCATTTTCAGTACCTTCTAACCCTTAAAGTCAACAAGTTTTAGTCAGTCGGACATTCTGAATTTCCCTTCTGCAGCTGTAATCAGTCTCTACACAGTGAAGCAAGGGTATATTCCTCCGGACACACTCATGCAGTGTCATGCCCAATCTTGCCCATGATTTTAAGCTAAAGTGCCTTATTCAAGCTACACATATAGTTGCTGGTTACCTATCCTTCATCCATTTGACTGTAGGAGATGGGTCCCCAACGGCCTTGCAAGGAAGGATGATATCCTTCATCCAAGGGGTCGTTACTGTGCCACTGAATGTCAGAATTCTGGCTGGAGCTGAACAATAAGAAGAGGAAGACTGAAACAGAGGAGCACTTTTTCATGCATTCTTTGGAGTAAAAACACAAATGCAAAATTAATTATTTTTTACCAGCATTATCAGCTATTTATTTGAACACAAATAATGTATTTTTAATATCTGGAGGAAAGAAGACTGAGGATGGAAGAGCCTTGAAGTAGAATAAATCCCAAAAGCTTTTAATCCCTGAGCCCTCTTTCCTTTCCTAGTACTTTATGAAAACTTAATCTTTTGTATATATATATTGGTGGGAGCTAAGATGAAATGTTATATCAAAGGGATTCCCCTCTTCGAATTATCTTCTAGTCCACATTTTCTGGTAGTCGTATCTACAACACGTCAGAATCTTAAAGACTCTAGTTACTGAAGAATAGCGTATCAGCATCCTATGATATCTCCTAGTTTCATTTTGACTAGCAAACACAAAATCTTATTCACCTCAGTGAAGTGAAAGTTGAAAACTTTCTGAATTTATCAATAATTGTTTTGATAATCTCTTTTATGACTAATCTATGTCTTCAATGGCCCAGATACTTCAAAAGTCAACACTGTTTTATTCCTGCTCTTGCTATAAACGAGACATTTTTTACAAGTGTCAAACCACCTTAGGCTTTGTCTGTATGGTCCTATGCCCCACTGCATAGTCTAAGGTAATCATGTGATCAGAGCTTGTCCCAATACCTGCTCTACTTCTGTGTGAGTGGCATGGGTAGAAAGGTTCTTCTTTCTTATTTTCTAGCAGTTCATGGAATACAATGGGCTCTTTTGAAGCAGTCTTGCCCATTATCTATGTTTCCATCGAAAGTAATGTTAATGTAAAAAAGGAAACTATTACCCCAGATAAAACATTGTCATCTTGAACTCCCGTGGGTATCATCACTATCCACAGCCTGGTGAGAGTTAGCAGTTTAGGCTAGATACCTACTTTACCACAGTGGGATTGTTGGTGGAACTGCCAGGGTTCATAACGTGATGTGTGATTTTCAGTTAGGGCTATATTTTCTGGCTGAGACTGGCTCAATGAGGAAAAAGAGTGCCAGTGATTAAATACTATCATAAGAACATAAGAACGGCCGTACCGGGTCAGACCAAAGGTCCATCTAGCCCAGTATCCTGTCTACCGACAGTGGCCAATGCCAGGTGCCCCAGAGAGAGTGGACCAACAGGCAATGATCAAGTGATCTCTCTCCTGCCATCCATCTCCATCCTTTGACAAACAGAGGCTAGGGACACCATTCCTTACCCATCCTGGCTAATAGCCATTAATGGACTTAACTACCATGAATTTATCCAGTTCTCTTTTAAACTCTGTTATAGTTCTAGCCTTCACAACCTCCTCAGGTAAGGAGTTCCACAAGTTGACTGTGCGCTGCGTGAAGAAGAACTTCCTTGTATTTGTTTTAAACCTGCTGCCTATTAATTTCATTTGGTGACCCCTAGTTCTTGTATTATGGGAATAAGTAAATAACTTCTCCTTATCCACTTTCTCCACATCACTCATGATTTTATATACCTCTATCATATCCCACCTTAGTCTCCTCTTTTCCAAGCTGAAGAGTCCTAGCCTCTTTAATCTCTCCTCATATGGGACCCGTTCCAAACCCCTAATCATTTTAGTTGCCCTTTTCTGAACCTTTTCTAGTGCCAGTATATCTTTTTTGAGATGAGGAGACGACATCTGTACGCAGTATTCGAGATGTGAGTGTACCATCAATTTATATAAGGGCAATAATATATTCTCAGTCTTATTCTCTATCCCCTTTTTAATGATCCCTAACATCCTGTTTGCTTTTTTGACCGCCTCTGCACACTGCGTGGACATCTTCAGAGAACTATCCACGATTACTCCAAGATATTTTTCTTGACTTGTTGTAGCTAAATTAGCCCCCATCATATTATATGTATAGTTGGGGTTATTTTTTCCAATGTGCATTACTTTACATTTATCCACATTAAATTTCATTTGCCATTTTGTTGCCCAATCACTTAGTTTTGTGAGATCTTTTTGAAGTTCATCACAGTCTGCTTTGGTCTTAACTATCTTGAGCAGTTTAGTATCATCTGCAAACTTTGCCACCTCACTGTTTACCCCTTTCTCCAGATCATTTATAAATAAGTTGAATAGGATTGATCCGAGGACCGACCCTTGGGGAACACCACTAGTTACCTCTCTCCATTCTGAGAATTTACCATTAATTCCTACCCTTTGTTCCCGGTCTTTTAACCAGTTCTCAATCCATGAAAGGACCTTCCCTTTTATCCCATGACAACTTACTTTACTTAAGAGCCTTTGGTGAGGGACCTTGTCAAAGGCTTTCTGGAAATCTAAGTACACTATGTCCACTGGATCCCCCTTGTCCACATGTTTGTTGACCCCTTCAAAGAACTCTAATAGATTAATAAGACACGATTTCCCCTTACAGAAACCATGTTGACTATTGCTTAACAGTTTATGTTTTTCTATGTGTCTGACAATTTTATTCTTAACTATTGTTTCGACTAATTTGCCCGGTACCGATGTTAGACTTACTGGTTTGTAATTGCCGGGATCACCTCTAGAGCCCTTTTTAAATATTGGCGTTACATTAGCTAACTTCCAGTCATTGGGTACAGAAGCCGATTTAAAGGACAGGTTACAAACCTTAGTTAATAGTTCCGCAACTTCACATTTGAGTTCTTTCAGAACTCTTGGGTGAATGCCATCTGGTCCCGGTGACTTGTTAATGTTAAGTTTATCAATTAATTCCAAAACCTCCTCTAGTGACACTTCAATCTGTGACAGTTCCTCAGATTTGTCACCTACAAAAGCCGGCTCAGGTTTGGGAATCTCCCTAACATCCTCAGCTGTGAAGACTGAAGCAAAGAATCCATTTAGTTTCTCCACAATGACTTTATCGTCTTTAAGCGCTCCTTTTGTATCTCGATCATCAAGGGGCCCCACTGGTTGTTTAGCAGGCTTCCTGCTTCTGATATACTTAAAAAACATTTTGTTATTACCTTTGGAGTTTTTGGCTAGTCATTCTTCAAACTCCTCTTTGGCTTTTCTTATTACATTCTTGCACTTAATTTGGCAGTGTTTATGCTCCTTTCTATTTGCCTCACTAGGATTTGACTTCCACTTTTTAAAGGAAGTCTTTTTATCTCTCACTGCTTCTTTTACACGGTTGTTAAGCCACGGTGGCTCTTTTTTAGTTCTTTTACTGTGTTTCTTAATTTGGGGTATACATTGAAGTTGGGCCTCTATTATGGTGTCTTTAAAAAGCGCCCATGCAGCTTGCAGGGATTTCACTTTAGTCACTGTACTTTTTAACTTCTGTTTAACTAACCCCCTCATTTTTGCATAGTTCCCCCTTTTGAAATTAAATGCCACAGTGTTGGGCTGTTGAGATGTTCTTCCCACCACAGGGATGTTGAATGCTATTGTATTATGGTCACTATTTCCAAGAGGTCCTGTTATAGTTACCTCTTGGACCAGCTCCTGCGCTCCACTCAGGACTAAATCTAGAGTTGCCTCTCCCCTTGTGGGTTCCTGTACCAGCTGCTCCATGAAGCAGTCATTTAAAGTATCAAGAAATTTTATCTCTGCATTTCGTCCTGAAGTGAAATGTTCCCAGTCAATATGGGGATAATTGAAATCCCCCACTATTATTGGGTTCTTAATTTTGATAGCCTCTCTAATTTCCCTTAGCATTTCATCATCACTATCACCGTCCTGGTCAGGTGGTCTATAATAGATCCCTAATGTTATATTCTTATTAGACCATGAAATTTCTATCCATAGAGATTCTATGGAACATGTGGATTCACTTAAGATTTTTACTTCATTTGATTCTACATTTTCTTTCACATATAATGCCACTCCCCCCCTGCACGACCTGTTCTGTCCTTCCGATATATTTTGTACCCTGGAATGATTGTGTCCCATTGATTGCTCTCAGTCCACCAGGTTTCTGTGATGCCTATTATATCAATATCCTCCTTTATCTCGAGGCACTCTAGTTCACCCATCTTATTATTTAGACTTCTAGCATTTGTGTACAAGCACTTTAAAAACTTGTCACTGTTTATTTGTCTGCCCTTTTCTGATGTGTTAGATTCTTTTTTATGTGAATGTTTATCATCTGATTTGGCCCTTACATTATCCTCCTCCATCCTCTGCTCCTGACTATAACCTGGAGATTCTCTATCGTTAGACTCTCCCCTAAGAGAAGTCTCCATCCGATCCACATGCTCCTCTGCAGCAGTCGGCTTTCCCCCATCTCCTAGTTTAAAAACTGCTCTACAACCTTTTTAATGTTTAGTGCCAGCAGTCTGGTTCCACTTTAGTTTAGGTGGAGCCCATCTCTCCTGTATAGGCTCCCCCCATCCCAAAAGTTTCCCCAGTTCCTGATGAATGTAAACCCCTCCTCTCTACACCATCGTCTCACCCACGCATGGTATAGAGAGGAGGGGTTTACATTCATTACTATAGTGATGCATGCTATAAAAATGCCTAAAATAGACAGACAGATAGATTTGGACAATTAGGTCAGTCTATGGATGGTTCATCTCCTCTAATGATATGAGCATTACATTAAAATTATCCATAGTTGTGAACTCTCTGTCAAGAATTCACTTCAGATATAGAGTGGAGGGGAAAATGTGGCTTTATGTGCCCCTGACCCTGGAGCCAGTCCCTGGTGCAACTTAGAACAGCCCTTTGTCTGATCTAAGTTGCTTCAGGTTGCAATAGTACCCAAGGACCATTTTGGCAACTAGAAATCACCAGAAAAGAACAGATATCTGGTCATGGGAAATGTGATCACACACATGCTAAAGTCAGCAAGGTATCCCATCTGAAAACATTCATGTGGATGTGTAAGATGTGTCCTAAATGCATGGCCCACAGACAATTTTAGCAATATAAGACACAATTTTAAAGGTGCCGTCTAAATTTGGTCTTGCAACAGTTTGTGCCTACAAAACTGTTATTTGTGTA